AAAAGAAGGAAAAAAAAAAGGGAAAAAAAAGGAGGACAAAAAAAGAAAGAGAAAGAGAAAAGGAAAAGAAGGGAAAGAGGAGAGAAAGGGAAAGAAAGAAGAGGAAGAAGAAAAGAAAAGGGGGAAGAAGTGATCGGGGGGGGCGAAAGAGCCTCGCCTCCCCCTTCCCCCCCCCCCCCCCCAATCAAAAAAATAAGAGAGAAGGAAGGAAATAGAAAGAAGGGGGTATCAGTTGCAATTTTTCCGCCAACAAGTTGTGGATCGGGGCGGGGATGGGCAAAATGCCCTTGCCTCCCCTGCCCCGCTAAAAAAAAGAGAGAAAGAAGGAAAAGGAAAAAAGGAGAGCTAAAAGGGACCGAAAAAAGCTGAAAAGAAGGGGAAATAGATCATTTGCAGTTAATCCCGCCAACAACATGTGGAGAAGGGTGGGGGCCGAAATGACCTTACCTCCCCCTCGCCCCCCCCCCCCCCATCAAATCTTACAGAAAGAGAAGGAAGGGAATGGAAAGGGAAAGAAGAGAGAAAGGGAAAGAAGAGAGAAAGGGAAAGAAAAAAAGAGAAATAAGAAAGGTAAGGGAGATCAGTTGCGATTTTTCCGCCAACAAAGAGTAGATCGGGGGGGGGGGGGGAACTGGCGTATTGATCGAGGAGGGGGCTCGGGGGAAATAAAATTTAAACGTGGTTTATTTCTGGGGGGAACTGGCGTATTGATCGAGGAGGGGGCTCGGGGGAAATAAAATTTAAACGTGGTTTACTTCTAATTCCATAACGGTGGTTTACAAATAATGCTGAAATGACATAATTTTCCGAGATTTGTCCTCATTCTTCAGTAAATTATACTTTTGTATGCGTTTGTAAATTAACAGCCAGGCAAGAAATATGCTTCTTGAGATGCCTACATGTCAGGGCCCGCTGAACGGCGGGGATCGGGAGCCTCCAGCTCCCCCCCCCCCCAATTTTTTTTTTGGAAAAGCATTTTAAAGAGAAATAGAAAGAAAGAGAGCAAGAAAGAAAAAATAGTTAACTACCAGTGTCACAACAAAATAAGGTATAAAAAAATTGCTCATCTGACCGTAATTAGACGCCTAAAACCCCTGAGCTTCCGGGGGCTCTGTCCCCGGGACCCAACCAAGGGCACTTGGGCAGGCCCCTTGCCTACTCATCTGACCAAAATTTAGTGCCTAAAACCCTTGATCTTCTGGGGGCTCCGCCCGCTGGACCTCACGCCAATCAGTGTCCTGCCAGTGTCACAAATAAAGTATAAAAATATGTCCATCTGACCGTAATCAAATGCCTAAACCCCCGAGCTTCCGGGGGCTCTGCCCCTAGACCCTACTGGATGCTAATCTGACGGCAATGTAATGCCTAAAACCCTTGATCTTCTGGGGGCTCCGCCCGCTGGACCTCACGCCAATCAGTGTCCTGCCAGTGTCACAAATAAAGTATAAAAATATGTCCATCTGACCGTAATCAAATGCCTAAACCCCCGAGCTTCCGGGGGCTCTGCCCCCTAGACCCTACTGGATGCTAATCTGACGGCAATGTAATGCCTAAAACCCCTGAGCTTCTTGGGGCTCCGCTCGCTGGACCTCACGCAAATCAGTGTCCTGCCAGTTTCACAAATAAGGTATAAAAATTATGTTCATCTGACCGTAATCAAATGCCTGAAACCCCTGAGATTCAGGGGTTTCCGCACCCTCGACCCCACCAGGGGCCCTGAGGCGGGCCCCTGAATACTTATCTGACCGTAATTTGCCTTCAACCCATGAGTTTCCGGGGGCGGACAAGGTATCAAAATCGTCTTGTTTCTCTAATAATTGAATTAAATGTCAAAGATTCCGCGCTTGGCGCAGAAGGTGTGGATTAAGAGTCGGGAACGGTACAACAAATCGTCTTCTTTCTCTAAAGATTTAATGAAACGTAAAAGCTTCCGCGCTTCGCGCGCGCGGATAGGAGGGGGGGGGGAACTGAATTCAGACGAGGATTAAGAGTCGAAAACGGTACAACGAATCGTCTTCTTTCTCTAATGATTTAATGAAATGTACAAGCTTCCGCGCTTCGCGCGGGAGGGGGGGGGGGGGGGACTGAAAACAATCGAGGATTAAGAGTCGAAAACTGTAATCAGAAGAGCAGGCGCGTACGGAGGGGGGGGGGGGATTTGGGGTTGAACCTCCCCCTGTTCGGTTTTTTGTTATGTGTGTATCTTGGAGCAACCCCCCCCCCCTTTTTAATTTTTTTTTAAATTATGCCAATGGCTGTCCTCAAAAAGGTGACCTCAACACCCCCCCCCCCCTACGGAACAAAATGTCAAATTTTCAAATTTCGAGACCCCCAAAAAAGTGTCCTCTTACCCCTCCCCCCCCCCCCCCGCTTCCTCTTTTTTGTTCCCTTTTAGCTCTCCTCTTTCCCTTCCCCTTTTCCCCTTCTTTTTTGGCGGTGGGGGAGGGGGGGGGGGGGAAGAGGCAAGGGCCTTTTGCCCCCCCCCCCCGGATCCACAACTTGTTGGCGGAAAAAATAGTAACTGATATTCCTCTTCTTTTCTTATCTTCTTCCTCTTTTTTTTTCCTTTCCGTTATCTCCTCTTTTCCTTTTTGCTTTCCCTTTCCTTCTTCTCTCTTTTTGTTTTGCTGGGAGGGGGAAGTGGAAGCAACATCATGGGAGGCAAGGCCCATTTCGGCCCCCCTCCCCCTGATCTCTTTCTTCCCCTCCCCCTTTTTCTTTTCTTTTTCCTCTTCTTTCTTTTCCTTTCTCTCCTCTTTCCCTTTCACATCTTTTTCTCTCTCTCTCTCTCTCTCTCTCTCTCTCTCTCTCTCTCTCTCTCTCTCTCTTTCTCTCTTTATTTTCTTCTCTTTAGAGACTTTTACACCATTATTAAGAGACATAATGCGCAATCAAATCAAACTGAGTGATGTTATCGAACAACTTCTCAATATCAATCTTCCATTCTCTTAAATGATCCTGGGAAGCCTCGGTCTTTATAGACACACAAAATGTATAACCAAATTTGGAGCATAGTTTAATGGTGTTGGCACAAAGTTTAGTGGCGATGGTTCGTTTGAGACTTGTACAGCGTTTATACTGTTTTATTAATGAGAAAGATCTCGAATCAAATCAAACTGAGTGATGTTATGGAACAACTTTACAATATCAATCATCCGTTCTCCTACACAATCCAGCCCCGGGTCTTTATAGGGCATACAAAATGTATTACTAAATTTGGAGCATGGTTTAACGGTGTTGGCACCAAGATTAGTGGCGATGGTTCGTCCGAGACTCATACAGCCTTTATACTGTTTTATTAATGAGATATATCTCGAATCAAATCAAACTGAGTGATGTTATGAAACAACTTAACAATATCAATCTTCTGTTCTCCTAAATAATCCAAACCCGGGTCTTTATAGGGCACACAAAATGTTATACTAAATTTGGAGCATGGTTTAACGGTGTTGGCACCAAGATTAGTGGCGATCGTTCTTGGAGACTCATAGAGCCTTTATACTGTTTTATTAATGAGATATATCTCGAATCAAATCAAACTGAGTGATGTTATGAAACAACAATATCAATCTTCCATTCTCCTAAAGAATCCAACCCTGCATGGGTCTTTAGCATATAGGGCACAAAAAAGGTAGTACTAAATTTGGAGCATAGTTTAACGGTGTTGGTACCAAGATTAGTGGCGATCGTTCTTGGAGACTCATAGAGCCTTTATACTGTTTTATTAATGAAATATATCTCGAATCAAATCAAACTGAGAGATGTTATGAAACAACTTAACAATATCAATCTTCTGTTCTCCTAAATAATCCAACCCCGGGTCATTATAGGGCACACAAAATGTATTACTAAATTTGGAGCATAGATTAACGGTGTTGGCACCAAGATTAGTGGCGATGGTTCGTCCGAGACTCATACAGCCTTTATACTGTTTTATTAATGAGATATGTCTCGAATCAAATCAAACTGAGTGATGTTATGAAACATCTTAACAATATCAATCTTCCATTCTCCTAAATAATCCAACCCCGGGTCATTATAGGGCACACAACATGTATTACTAAATTTGGAGCATAGTTTAACGGTGTTGGCACCAAGATTAGTGGCGATGGTTCGTTCGAGACTCATACAGCCTTTATACTGTTTTATTAATGAGATATATCTCGAATCAAATCAAACTGAGCGATGTTATGAAACAACTTAACAATATCAATCTTCTGTTCTCCTAAATAATCCAACCCCGGGTCATTATAGGGCACACAAAATGTATTACTAAATTTGGAGCACAGATTAACGGTGTTGGCACCAAGATTAGTGGCGATCGTTCGTTCGAGACTCATACAGCCTTTATACTGTTTTATTAATGAAATATCTCTCGAATCAAATCAAACTGAGAGATGTTATGAAACAACTTAACAATATCAATCTTCTGTTCTCCTAAATAATCCAACCCCGGGTCATTATAGGGCACACAAAATGTATTACTAAATTTGGAGCATAGATTAACGGTGTTGGCACCAAGATTAGTGGCGATGGTTGGTCCGAGACTCATACAGCCTTTATACTGTTTTATTAATGAGATATATCTCGAATCAAATCAAACTGAGTGATTTTATTGAACAACTAAACAGTAGGCCTACTAAATGTCCATTTTCCTATAAACTGTCATTACAAAACTAGCTAGATTAGGGATTGTATAGCCGCTCCGAGGAACGTTTGCTATTTCAATTCCCTGCTTGTACTTGGCTTCACGGAGTAATTCGTCCTTTATAATGATTCTCTTCATTCCGGAGCAATGTATGTAGTAATGCTTGCGAACGTACTCTTGTACTAGTACAGTACATGTACCTGTGTATAAGACAGATCCATAGACAGAGTACGCACGCCGCACGTCTGTGACGTAGGGAATAATGAATATTCATATCGCCGTTAATCTTGGTGCCAATATATGCTACCGCGAGCGATCAATCACATTCATTTGCAACTGTTCGAGCCCGATATGCGATCCCACCTATACATTTTTATGTTGGTTATTGCTACATCGTTTTATTGGCGAGACATTTCCAATTTCACCTCTACTTATCTAGAACACAAAAGCTCATCAAAATGCCACTAGGACCAAAAACATACTGTTCTTCATGCAAGACATCGGTCACATGTATGTGGAGGAAAAAGAAATCAGGCTCTGTAGTCTGTAACGGGTGTTATTTAAAGAATAATAGCGACGATTCTCAGAACAATTCTGGTCATGCTGGTGGCAGTGGCAACAACAATGGAAACGGAAAATCGAGTGGAAATGGATCAGGAGGAGGGAAAAGTCAAGCAGGGAGAAAGACAGGAAGGACAGCCAAGAGGATACGATATAGGCAGATTGTCAATGCAGCAAAATCGCAATCAACTAAAGGGAAGAATCGGCGAATTATATTTAAGAAAAATGTAAGTGACAAAGAGAATAAAATAAAAATACCACGTCGGTTCAGAACTTCATATTCAGAAGTTCGGGCAAACTGATGATCATGATAAATATGAATGAGTCTGAGTGTGACGAGTGACGAGGCATGCATAGTACTTAATGCATAGACCTACCTGAAAGTTTCAAAATTAGTTTGATGTGTTGAAAATAGATGCGAGTGTTCGGTCCTAGAGAATGTGTAGAATTAGAATTGTGCTGGTTGTGTTGTTGTAGACCAAATTTTCTGTCTCTTTCGTTCGTTAGCCTCTGATTTGGGTAGGGTTGGAGAGGAGCCGACCCTACCCAAATCAGAGGCTAACAAACGAAAAAGACAGAAAATTTGGTCTAGTTGTTTTGTAAAACTCAAACTGTTGTTAGCTGACTGAGTGACTGACGCCATAACGATTCTGGTAAATTATTTTTTGATTCTGTTTCCCATGCAGCCTCTGAAGAGTCCAGCAACGGTGTCCACAATTGTGACCTCAGGCAGTGTTTTCCACCAGGTGGGTGATTTAACTTTATTTTTTATTCTAGACCTATATGTAAATATGTATAGTAAATTTGTTTCTTCTTTCAGAATTACAATTGTTCAGTAAATAAAGCTTTCCCTTTCTCCCAAGGATTTTATGTTTAAAAAGTTTTACCAATTATGTTAATCAAAATGTTTCTTTTTATTCCATGTAGGGTACTTACTTCCAAGTTGGTGACATTGTATCCCTGCTCGATGTAGAAGGAGGCATATACTATGCTCAACTGCGAGGATTCATGCAAGATCAGTACGCCCAGAAAAGTGCTATCATCACTTGGCTCCTTCCAACACAGGCTACTAACAAGAACAAGTTTGATCCAGCCACATATATTCTAGGTAATGGTAGATCTTGATCTCTTTGTATACAATGTTCTTGTTTTTGTTGCAACTGTTGTTTATTCTGGAGTAGCTGCATAGATACATCTTAAGATATATCTAACCATTTTTTATTCATTTTATATCATTCTTGATGACAGGACCTGAGGAAGAGCTACCTCGCTCATTAGAGTTTATGGAGTTTGTATGCCACGCCCCATCAGACTACTACCGCCTTGTCAAGAGTCCGTACCCTGTAGTACCCGTACGAGGGGAACGAGGATTCGTATGGTCCAGTGTGCTTCCTAGCAGCAAACCCTCAACAACAAATGTCTTCGGCGAGACGTGACAAAGCTTTCAGTATTATCTTGATTGAACAGACATTTCTGTGAACTCTTTGAAACTGGCTGACAGAACTTGTGAGACCTTAAGATATCATATTGTGATGTACTTATCAGTGATGTTCTTATCAGTGATTTTCTTATCAGTGATGGAAATTGGAATCTTTGACACAGATGACATGATTGGACCATATTAGTGCTCTAAACCATATGAATGTGATTGTTATGGTAAGAATGTGTTGGATGGTGAGTGCCAACAGTGAAAAATGATACATATGAGTGGAAAGTGATGTAGCTCTGAGGAAACTACAATGAAATGTATAAAAAATACCTAAGAGGAAATCTCTCTCCTTCATACCGTGTATAAATGCTCCTGTGAAATAATGGAACCTTTTTTGAACACCTATGTAAATGGCGAAAATAGAGTGGCACAGAACATTGTGAATGCTCAGGTCGGATTAATAGGGTGGTTTCACAATTAACAGCTCCCCCACCAGCAAAATGCTGCGACAGGCCAAGTTTTCAGCTCGTTGGTCAACATCTTTCATCCAGTACAGCATAGCAAAAAGCTAGCCACTGATCGACATGACCCAAGCGGTCCAAACTGTAAATTCATTCATTGAGATTGATTGTTCTGATATCAGCACACATGTTTATTTTGAATGAGGATGTCGATTCCCATCCCTAGGTTGATTCTGACCTAAATTCGGGCTGATGTTGGACTAAAATCAATAAAAATTGTATTTTACAAATTTTTGGCCTAAAAGTGTCTGAATTGACCATATTGTTGTTGATGAGGGTCAATTTGACCAATTTTTCTAGCATTGTGGTGTATGTTTACATAAAAGTAGGCCCATCAAATCTCTTTTGCTGATTACAATGGTTGGAAAAATTAGCCCTGAACCAAAGTGACCATCAAAAAAAAGAAGCCAAAATGATAAAAATGTCATGAGTAGGGAAAGACAAAATTAAACGGCAAAATTGTTTTGCTAGATGGTGCTGTGAATTGTGAATCCACTGTATTGTTCCATTCTTTGTTGACCTATCGTATACCCTGAATCTAAATCTCAACAATACTCTTATCCTTATGGATACACAGTATAGACTTTATAAAACAGTCTGTGAGCAGTTTGTACTTCTTTTTGCTCACCTCCTGTGTAAATTTTGAATATACAGTGTATAAGAACCGTTGGCTCTCTTTATGCCCATGCCATGCTGGACTCCTTCCTGACTAAAATAGTCAAAATGAGCCTAAAAAATAATAGATACATGTATCATTCAATCACATACCTCAGGCATTACTAATGATTATAGAATGACATACCAATTGTACTGGTAAGTCAAGTTTAGGTCATTGTTTAAAAACATTGCTTTCTCCAGATAAATAAAATGCATGGGTATGTTGCTTGCTGAGAAGAAGGGTTGATGCTACTTTGTGCTTACTGATGTCTTGTCTTGAGCTTTTTTCCCTTTCTTTTAGGTGTGTATGGATGATTGCTTTCAAACTTGGCATGAACTGTCAAAAGATGGTATCCAATAATTCTTCATCTAAAACACACACTGTGAGGTACAGGCAAGATATTAAGTGCCATTAGACTTGTTACATTTTTCGCCTGTAAATCTGAAATGAATCTTGCTTGTGAAAAGTGTATGTGAATAATTCATTGCCTGTTTCTAAGGAATTGCTAGTTTTATAATGCCTAGATTTAGAAGTATTATCTCTATGCAATGAGAGGATATAAGTATGAACAAATAAAAGTAGAAAAACAGCTTGACCATTATTTATATCTTGTTGGCAAATTCAATGATATATATGCTTCTTTGTTAAATTTGATATGAGCAAAATATTCCCCGGTACCGAATAACAAATTATTGCATTATCTTTCCCTGAATGTAACACAAGTTATTTTATTTATATAAAATAAAGGCTACAGCCGTGAGTCGTTACTTTGTTGCACAAACTTCAGACATGCTTTTGAGGATTTTATTAGCATCATATATCTGGAAAGCATGTATGAAATTGTATACACTCACTGTTAAACTTTCTTTACTATCATATATCTTTAAATGATACCTGATAATAAAATGCTTCTTGGAATTTGACTGTAATTCTGTAAACAGTAAATTTATACCACGGAAAGAAACTTGTCAAAGGATTTTCGCAAATGTACTGTAAATTTGTCAGATTTCAGACACACAAGTAGGTAGAATGTTCAACTGCGTTTTTTTCTTCTTCACAAAGCTGAAAGAAATATAAATACAATATGCCTGTCATTATCAAACTTATTATTTTTGAAAGTATAATGAATTTTGTCTGGTTCTTCTTTCAGGAGATTGAATATATATTCGTTTATTTAAATTGTTTAAATATATTTGTGTCTTACACCCAGTAAATAAGATCGATTGATCGATCTGTAATTGAAAACAAGTCAGAAAAAATCTTGGAACCAGCAGGAAATATATATTCCTTGTTTTAGAATCATCTCATCCTCGTCTATGACTCTGGACAATATGTTCTGATATCCCCCTAGAGACCAGTCAATATTCTAAATGTAACAAATTTTTAGCGTGTACCGGTAATGGTCAGGATAGTACTTTTAGAAGCGAGAAAGGTGAGAGGGAGACAAGATTAGAGAGAGATGACGAGAGACAAAAGAGAGGAGAGAGGGTTGAAGATAGAGGAAGAGAAAAGTGAGAGGTAGAAAATGAGAGTCAGAGAGGCATTTTAGAGAGTGAGAAAGGGTGAAAATGAACAGGGTCATTAACATCCGACCTATACTGGTGTAGATTTTTGCAAAGAAAGTGTACAAAAACTTTGCTGTGAATGATACCACCCCCCCCCCCCCCCTTTGGAAGCAAGTTTGTATCTGTTTGGTAAATAATGTTCAAGACAATTATAGAAACGAATTTGTCCTCCCAAATCCATTAATTTCTTTCTAAGAATAAAAATATATACATAGGTCTATAATTGATTGGAGAGCAAGATCGATATCCATACATCTGTCAAGTGCTATGAAGTATTGCTCTTATAGAAATAAGAATAAAAGAAATTCAAAGCAAATCGTAGAGACCTTGAATTCTCTTATTTCATGAATCATAAGTTTTGATCATGAAAAATATCTTCGGATAAACCTACAGAGAAGTAGGAATAGAATCCGTCATATTTTATATTCAATCTCTGGCATTTCCAGGTGACGTACCTGTACCGATGACGTCATCATTAATACCGATGAAAACAAGCTGAAACTGAGCCACGTCAAGTCCGTACAGAAATTGTCGATTTAAAGGCGTTACGACGAAATCAGTAAGTACCATTTCCCGTATTTCTGTTGTAATGATCTTTAAGAGAAATTCTAGTAGGCCATGTGTCCGGTAAAACTTTCAACAATCAAATATCTATGACCAAAGTCTTAACTTATTTGCATTTATCTCTGTGCTGGTCCCATATATCGAAAATAGTGTACCGTACCGTACCATAAAACTACCAACAATGAATTGAATGCAGCCTACTGAGCCTAGTTTGATGAACATGATTAAATGATGGGGACGGGGTAGCCTCAAGTGCTTGGTGATTTATGAAAGTTAATGTGAGAAAAATGCTGACCTCATGCAGGCAGATAGTGATGTTGATTCTGCTGGAAACGCAAAAACAAGTGGTGTGCGTGGAAATGGCTGATTTTGATTTGCCGATTTTATATATATTTTATGAAAATGTTATGAAAATAAAGTGTAAAACAGCACGTGAGTGTCGCTGACGTCAGTCTCAGAATTCAGCGACACTAAACGGATGCTTCCAAAGCTAGGTATTGTTTGACATTTTCAGGCATGTTGAATCTAAAAATAATGAATAATTTTTATATGAGCTCTGTCTGGAGATTCTTCTTCTCTTTCTTTCTCTTTTTTTTTCCTTCTGTCTTTTAGTGCTGGTAAAAATACTGCGCATGGTTTCAGCTTCTTAAACCATATGAAAGAGTCCATTTACAATTAGAAATTCTCAAATTATGTAAGTCAGAAAGAAATTAGGAACCATAATGTGTCATTAAATAATGTACTAAATTGTCACCATTTTTTGTTTGTCCTAAACAGGTTTGCTGTAAAACAGATCTGCATTGATTGCCATCCGAGCAAGCAGGTCGTAAGGCAGATCACGATGTCAACCAAAATCTCAATGGAGGGGGACTCTGTCCTAGATGACTTTCACCATAGCACTAGTGTTATGTCTGCACACATTGACATCAGAATGAGTGAGTATTTAACAATGTTTTGTTTGAATAACAGTGTTCTTGAGCACCAGTACAAAAAATTAATTACTCCTGAATGTATTAAAAACACATATTTTCCATTAACGCCGAGATAATGTTGTGAATTAGGTAATATACTTGACTTATTTCTTATCAGTGTCCAAATACGAGTCTGAGTCTGGGTCCAGCTGGCAGCACATCTGAGGCCGAGACTGATGCTGGCATTGCTTGTCCTCTCTCACTCAACTTTCTTTTCCATCCTTTTTATTGGTTTTTCTTATCATTGCTATTGAATTTAGATTTAAGCTTACACAATTATGATTCTACTGAGAAATGTGAGTTGTCCTCAGAGACAGAATGATGCCCTGCACATGATGCTGTTTTCAGGCATGGTGAAAATGACATTACCAAAGTTATAATCAATGTAAAGGACAACTGCAAGAGATGAATCTGTGACAAGAAACGATTATAATCATTCATCATTGTTTACTTATTAATGTTAATTGTATTGACGAGACAATATTAGCAGACCTTCATTCTGAATACTATTTTCCATACATTTCACTTTCAGATTTCTTGAGGAAGGTGTTTGGTATATTATCTGCACAGCTTTTGTTGACAGCTGTGGTGTCAGGCATCTTTATGTACTTTGAAGGAGTCAAGAGCTACATACAAGAAAGGTAAATGAGACTCCCAACAATGATTTTGAAAAGTAGTATTACTATTCACTCTTTGTGAACAGATGATAACCTTCACATACATTCATAGTTATTAATAAAGATTAATCAGTGTTGTGTGTAAATAAAAATATGGGAGCAACACTTTAGTATATATAGTATCCTGTACAACCAAGTATTTTTAAACCCTAGATAATGATACAAAATTATGCATTCTAATGTAACTCAATTCAAGCATCTCCTTTTTATTCTTAGTCAAAACTCTTTCTGGGAAGACCAATTTTTGACAACATATATACAGATTTTTCTTTTCTTTAATTTGTATGTACACAGCTCCACCCCTATCGAACTTCAATGCTCTCTTTTTCTTAAGAGTATTTCAATTTCTAACATTCTTCATCTATGTCACTGTTATCTTTTAGTACAATCAGATTCTTTTTCTCACAATTCAACAGAAGTGGGGGTCATCCCTTAATCAAATTCATGTTCTTCTTGTTGTTTCTTCCAGTCCTGGTATGCTGATGATTGCCTTTGTATTGTCTTTCATCTTCCTGGTTGCACTCATGGTGAAGAGCAAGGAATACCCAATCAACATGATCCTTCTTACTTGCTTTGTAAGTCTGTGGGCTCCAATATCAGGAGAGGGGTCAAGGGTCAAAAGGGGGGGGGGGGGGGGTGGAGAATATGGAGGGGAGAGATACCTGGGGCCTGTTTCACAAAACTTGTCATCCGTGACAAATGACAGTCTTTGTTATAAGCTAGAGAAATCCTTGCTTCTGATTGGTTACCAGCAGATTTGTCACAGATTTTTGTCATTTGTCATTGAAAAAAGGCTTTGTGAAGCAGGTCCCTGATCATGAGAGAGGTATTGCTGTAGGTGAACAGATGAGAGAATCTGTTATCATTTTCAACCTGCTTGATTAAATCGTAAACATTGGGGGTTGAAGGGGGGGGGGGGCTTAAATAGACACATGTATTTTTTCCTCTAGCAGTTTAAACTTTTGTTATGATATGTTCAGGTTTTTGAAAATAAATGTTGAGGTTTTAAAAAATGATGCTATTTTTAATATTCAATGATATTGAAATACATGTAAGTAATAGATTCTTCAATCTGTAATTTTTATAAAGCTAATATTTAGTGTGAAAGTTATCCCTGACTATAAAGTTTAATGTTTTTTGTTGCCTTTCTTAGACCCTGGTGGAAGCATATGCTGTCGGTACAGTTGTGACCTTCTATGACAAGGCTATAGTGATCGAGGCTCTCGTCTTGACTTTAGCTGTTGCATTCAGTCTTTTAGTCTTTACAGTGCAAAGCAGGAAAGACTTCAGTACATGGGGTGCAGGGTAAGAAAGACGTCATTCATCTGTTTATTTGTTTTTTGAGGATATCAAGATTTAAAAAATAAAAAAAACCGTAAAAGACATTTTTGTCTCGACTGCGTAGCAAAAAGCGAGACATAGTCGCCGCTTTTCAGTGACGACGACGGTTTGGCGGCGTCAACAATAAAAACAGTTTTTGAATTTTTAGTATAATTTTGAAAGTGTAAATTCTTATTCAATGAAACTTGGATTAAGGGGTCATCAAGTATCCCCAATCATGTGAGTAGAATTTCAGGTCACAAAGTCATGGTCAAAGGTAATTTCAGGTCAACAAACTTAGACTATGTTGTGGCATCACCATCAAAAACTTAAACTTAGGTTAAGTTCTTGAATTTTTAATATAATTTTGAAAGTATAAGTTTTTATTCAATGAAACTTTGACTAAGGAGTTATCAAGTATCCCCAATCATATGAGTAGAATTTCAGGTCACTAGGTTATGGTCAAAGGTAATTTCAGGTCAACAAACTTAGAATATGTTGTGGCATCAACATCAAAACTTTACCAAAGGTTAAGATTTTGAATTTTTATCATAATTTTGAAAGTTTTCATTCCTATTCCATTCAATTCAGGTTTTGAGCATTCTTAAACTCATTTTAAAAGGTGCTGTTTTTTTAAGCCAAAAATACTTTCTGTGTCGGTCTTGATATTCATTGTACATTTGTTAGAAAAGATAGCATTAAACAGTTTTAAACTAGTCTTTTACCATATTAAAGTGCATTATTGACATCCCAATGATTTTTTATTTTTTTATAGAAAAAAGAAAGAAATGGGAAGAAAAAAATTTAAAGAAAGACAACAACAACAACAAAAGAACAAACAAATCCGCCTGCCTGCCCCTACCCAAGAAAAGCAATCGAGGTCAACCTAATTTTTTGGGGGGCCTAATGGGCCACCCTGCCTATAAATAATGTCCCAACCTCAATTTTTCATCATATCAATTGCATAATGCAGGGGAGATGGCCAAGAGCGTTTCCCTTGTTTAATAAAATAAAACATAATCAATGTCAGTATAATGGTAAATTTGATATACATGTATACAAAAAAAGGAAATGTACTATCTTCCATGATGTTTAATCATAATAAATTCAATGATGTTCTTTCATGATTGATATCCAGTCTGTATGCAGGCTTGATGATCCTCATTGTTGGTGGTCTTCTTCAAATCTTCATTCCTCACTCTGACATGCTGGAGCTCGTCATCGCGATCGGTGGGGCCATCGTCTTCAGTCTCTTCCTCATCTACGACATCCACATGATCATGCACAAGCTCTCACCAGAAGAGTACATCATGGCTTCTATCAACCTCTACTTGGACCTTATCAACCTCTTCCTCTATATTCTACGCATCCTCAACTCAGCCCACAAGAAATGAATATTCATGACGACATCGCTATCTGGACCTCATTAATCTCTTCCATTACATTCTATGTATCCTCAACCAAGCCATTAAGGAAGGAATATTCAGGATGACATCATGGCTTCCATTATGGTTTCTATCTCTATGGTACGCTATTCTGGTTTGGTTTATAAACCCTCCGTCTGATTGTCTGCTATGTAGCTCTTTTAAGCATTCTATCACTCATACTTTGATATTTTTAAGGAGAGTAATGGATTTTGAGGTACCCCAGGACATTCAAGAAGAAAATGGGGAAAATATCTAAACTGATCAAAAGAAAACACAAATGAAAAAGAACACTGAAAAAACAAACATAGTCCGCCTTTCTTTTTACCAGATGTCAAAAGATATGAAATATTTACATTTATAAGATGGATCCCTTTGGTCAGATTAGAGTTATTCTCACATTTTCTTGCTTGATATTTTAAGAGATCATTTTATGCAATGAGAAATCTCTCCTTAGCAATATGAAACCCAACTTTCATCATACTCTCATGAACATGTATATACATTGGTATTACATATGATATGTTCTAAAAGCAAATTGGATTTATATTTTTCAAAACATTTGTACATGTATATATATATATATATATATATATATATGTTTACAATACTGTTTATTATGATGGATTGTAACTTGAAATCGAAGCCTTGTTAAATATTTTGTCTCATTCGATATATAGGAAATCAGGGGTACTTTGTATTCAGTCTCATTAGGTTACGAGTTTTAAATTGGGATTAATTCAAGCATGAATACGCGAAGAGCAATTTTTTTGAAGGTGTGTTTATCAAGTGCAAGATCTCCCAAAGTGTGAAAGTAGCACTGCTAGAAGATGCAACTGATCCTTGTATATATGGTAGCTTAGTTGACTGACAGTCCTGTTAATTGGTCTTATGTTAATTTTAAGGCTTGCAGACCCAATCATTAAGTAGACCAAGCAAAATTTGATTTACTTTAGCCCTTTGTTTGATGGTACATCAAGTGCTAACCTCTCTACTTTGTAAACTCTAGTAATTCTGTAACATAATCAAAATGAAGTATTATGAAATGAACAGAAAAAAAAATACAAGGTTTATTGTTGAGTCAAATAGTTACTTGTTTTCGGTAATGATAATCTGTTTCAAATTAATAGGTTAACTCTTGGTCTCTAAAACATTGTGTACTTATTCTAATCGTCTAGTTGGGTATTAAAGTTATTCTTTTATGAACACAGCATGTATCTTGTGGTCCTTCCTTCAAGATTTTGGGTGGTCTTCTCATCTTTAATAGACCAAAACTCTAGCACCTTCCATCTTACAAATTACCCATTACTTGGAAAGTTCTCAACTGATAAGCATTATGGTATTGGGCTGTAACCTGTTTTGGGGTAGTTTTAACAAGTGTTTGAGTCCAGTTCACAGTATATTTAGTTTCTCATAATAGGTAATGAAATTATATGAATGTGCTATTATTAATGAAAGTAGACCTGTCCATAAAAGAATGCATCAAGTATTTACTTTTATAGTTCAAAATAATAATATATGATAAAAATTGTTGATTTATATCTCTTTTATGTACCAGCCATTAATAATATCACCATTATCTGTATATTTGTTTAACTTTTGTTGTTGTGCTGAATGCCGATACACTTTTCTATTAAATTTCTTTGTCAGATATGATTTATTAGTAATTACATATTATTATCAACAATTGAATGATTTTTTTTGGTCGTTTTTAGAAATTTCTTATCATTTCTTTTGTTACTACCTACACTGTCACCACAAAGGTATTGTATAAAAAGATAGAAAAAGTCTTAATTTTAAGTACTCTCAATATGAAGAGTTTTTTGGTTGCTATTATATTAAGCATATTAATGTTGATGGGATGCAAAGGTTGTATATTTGACATTGTGAAATAAAATTAAATCTTTATATATATATATTCATCCCAAAGCTGTGTTTCGTTATGTTCATTTTGTCCCCTACTCTGGAAATCAGTCAGCATGGCATGCATGTAATCATGTTTACAGTGGAAAACATCATTATAATCAGGACATTGGGACAATTAGATTTACCTCTATATCACGGTAAAATGAAATTAAATCAGGTATAACAATATATCAGAGCTGTTGTTTACAAGGAGTTCCCACGTATAAATGTACATGTATCTAAAAATAACATGAAATCAAACGTACTGAACACAATGCAAGCACAAAACAACATATTTTTGTTTGATATACATAAAAAGAGTTTTAATTTAACATATTCATTTTCGCATATTGCCCTGGAGAAATGACAAGCATTTAAAGCATTAATTGACATTAATTCTGTCACAAAATGAACCTAACCCAAATGAGGTTGTACAAATTTTGTTCCTTTAAGTAATTTACATGTTTGTGCTTTATTTGGTTAAATATATAACAGTAATTTAAAAATACAGTTTGTTATATTGAGTCAGTGTCTCTTTGTGTTGAAGCAATTTACAATTAATACAGAGTACTGCTGATTTGTGCTTCTTCGCCTGCCAGATATTGCATGCAAGCCTTTTCCTAACTATACCCAACATAAGAGGATTTATTCATCTTTACTGGCGAAGGAAGGAATGCATGCATGGTATCCATTTATTGCTCTTCAGCAAATGTCATTTCCAGCACATTATTGTTGGTTTGTTTAAAATTTGATTTTCTAAAAAATATCTACTGCATTATAAAACAATTTATAATGAGTTATCCACTTTTTCTTAAAATTACAACTACGTGTAAGGATGTTCAGTGGTTTAGCATGGATCTAGCCATTGATGGAGCACAGGCACCATACTACTTACAAATCTTGCATTCTAAAACAAATTAATAAACAATTCATCTACTTTTACTAACCAACTAAAATATAAATTAGTACCTTTACCAATAAAAAACGATATTATGCCAGTACAGTACCAAGTGTTCTGGGGTAGCAAGATGTTCATGATATCTATTACTATGGGAATATTCTTTGAAAGTGTAATTACAGCAAAATTCATGACAATTTTTTTTGTTGAGTTTTGGTCATTGAGATAGAAAACCAAGTACAGTTATATCTCCTTTTGAGCCAGTTAATTGTAAATTTTGTAAAACTTTCAAATACTTATCTATTTATTGGAAACATTTTGAAAGTGTAAGAGACTGATTTTTAATGGCATTTCTACCACTTCAAAAGTTCGTTTAGCAGTTTGAGATGAATGAACTGACTTGTTGACATACATTACATCTACAAAGGACACTCCACTATATTCGGAGACACCCCAGCCATTATAGTGACAATACTTTGGATTCAGCTAATATCTGCTGAAATCTTTGGAGTTTATAGGTCATTAATCATATCAAATCGTTTATCAATCAATATTATGATATCAAGCTGTTAGTACTCCTATTATATACAAGGATAAAAAAAATCATTCTTATGATAATGTGTACCTCATAATTTGTTTAATTTTTTATAAATAAGGTTATAAAATAGAAATAGCACCAGCAAATTAGTATAAGTTAAGATTAAAAACATTAATGTTGAGTTTACCACTGTACCACCAAAAGGCTTAATTATAAGATAAAGATGAGATATTGAGATTAAAATTCTTCTTGCTCCCTTAATACTTGGTCATAAAACACTTTAAAATGCATTTCAGTACATTCTATTGATTCTCAGCAACCCCCCCCCCCCCCCCCACAGTCTTCAACTGTAAGTTTCTATGAGCATCATTTGTCTTCAAACATTTCAACTAACTTAGTGGGTGGCTTCTCAGCCCATTCTTTGTTACTTGATGATTTATGCCCCGATGACGTCAACGACAATGACGACGACGATGATGATGATGATGGAATGGATGGATCTAAACTGAGATGATTCAACATGTCCTGCATTGTTTCTACTACCTCAACCTCATCCTCTCTATCATTGCCTTGTTCATCTTTTCTCCTTATATGCATAGTTCTCGATGGGGATCCACTGTGGGGTAAGTCTAAACTGTTGGTTGATGAAGGCATGACTTGACCTAGTCTATCATCTGAGCAATCAGTGCTTGCTATGATCACTTTATTAACAGAGTCATTGTCAGGTGAACAATGATTAAGGTTCGATACTTCTCCTACATCAGAACTAGAACCAGTTTTAGGTATCTGACTGGAAGTTCCACTCTCCTTCATGCTATGTTCCTGCACCACACCTCCATCAGCAACATGGACATTGTCTTCATCATCACTATCATCACTGTCATCATCCCTTTCCATGGCAACCGTCTCTGCTGCCCTCACGATATGAGCTGTCACGACATCCGGACCTGGAGTGGCTCTCCGTATCAGGTCAGGGTAACCCACTTGATGAATCACCTGCGGTTGATCCGAGTCCATGGAATGTTCTTGAAGAGATGGGTTACCATGGTGACCTGGTGTCTGGTCCTCCCGGTGCTCTGTCCCATTCCTCCTCATCTCGTCATCCTCTACAACCGATGCTGCTTCCTCGAGGTCATCAAGATCAAGACCAATGTCTTTCTTCTCAAGCTGCGCCTGGTAATTTGAATAAGGATGACAAACATAACTTTTTTTTCTTCATAGAAAGCTAATTTGCTAGATAAGTCATTTACTAGAGTTTTTTCAGACAGTAGGTCACAACTTGATTATGACCTGAAAAGCCCATCATGAGGTGTATTTCAATCCCTATATGTCACTTTTCATTGATTTAAAGCCCATCTGTACCAGGATTAGACCACCCTGCAAGGTCACTGGACAGGTAGTTATCTCATCAAATCAGCTCTCAATTAACATAAGAAAAAGAGGATCATGGGGGACCAATGGTCACCGATTAGGCATTGTTTGTTCTATAGAGGGCGCAAGTAGCTATAAGTAGTGCAGTGGGGCTTTAAGCAAATGATATTGGTGCACAGAGAAAATAACAGTGTTTATAGAAGACTTTTAAGGATCAGTCTCTCACCTCTCCAATCTGTTGCTCCAGAGCAGCAAGTCTTTCATTTGAAATTGATTGTAGCCACACACAATAGTCTGAGATGTACAGATCATTGAGAATGTAGCGAGGTTCATCATTTGACAGAAGTTTGTGGATTTCAAAGAAGCACTTCAAGACCTGATTGCGACCTGCATAGAAGACGTAGAAAATCAAATATCAAATGAACTTCAGGTTTGACTATTTGTCTATTATCAACTTTTTTTTTTTTTTTTTTTTTTTGGGGGGGGGGGGGGGGGGGGAGTATAAGCCTGTTTTTTTAAAGGCTACCTACAGATGTAAAGCCTCGGTCACAAATGCCATTACGAACTGCTACGAACGCCGTACAAACGATTTTCAGACAATGGAAAAACAGGGAGATTCGTACAGAATTATCGTTCGTACAAACTTTTGTGACCGTAGCATTACCAAAAACTCTTCAATTATGAAAACGATCTTATTATTCTTGAATTTTCTTGAAAGCAATGAAATATTACTTAATTTGACCGATGAAGATAGATTTCCAACCATTTCAAGACTAGCATCTATAACTTCAATCTTAAGTAGAAAAACATCTTAGATTTATATAAAAACTGTATATAATTCTGACTACAAAAGTTTATTTATAAAAGTTTCCAAACGTTTGTAGATTTTTGCTTTGACTTAGTGTACTGTACGATACCATCAAAAGTAAAATTTAAAGAATCTAATAAATCTTTACTTTCAGAATGCAATTTTTTGTAATTTCTTGTGTGAACATTAGGATTTCAATCATATGGCATTATACCTTTCAGTGTAAACATTACTAAATACCAATGCCTTTGACTAACCTAGTCTCAGTATCATCCTCACATCCTTGAGCAACTTGCGACACAACGCCCAGCTTCGGTACAAGGGAAAACACAGCGCCCTCCTGCAGCAAGCTATGGCCATCTCACGGGGGGTTTGGAACCAATCCAGGCATGACAGAGTCGAGCTTAACTTACACACAGTCCAAGCTGACTCGACCTATGACCGGTATGACAAGATGAGGTCATAGTTCAGAGGTTGACGTTTCTTTATGTCAAGTTTACAGTTTTGCAAATGCAATATGCAAATGTAATAATAGTTCTGCAATGGGCATTATCAATGATTCGTGTATGGACACATTTCTAGTCCTAAGTGAATTTTTAAGCCATACTTAATCTGTACGTTGTGATTTCATAAAATGATACAAAGGATGCAATAAATCAATTACTATGGATAGGTGTAAAGATAATATCTGATAATTCCACGTTCAACATACTTGAAAATCATTCCAATTTCTAGGGAGGGTAAAATGAATAAAATCTTTGTGAAGGATTAAACTTCATTTGCTAAAAATGTTTGTTATAGTGAATGAAAATGCCCCTCATACAGAGCGAAAAGGGGGAATCCCTTCCACATCCACCCCTATGAGGTTGTTTCACTCCCTTGCAAAGTCCCCTTAAAACTGATTCCTGTTTTATTCCTCCAAGGTTTGCAGGGAATCAATTTCCATCCCCAAATATATACTGGTAATACAAAATCGAGTTACATATTATGTATTGAGAAAGTACTGTTCATCTCAACACAAATTTCCACCATCTCAGTTAGAGAGAGAATGCTATATCAGAGAAATGAAACACCAATCAAATACTTACAGAATGCTCTCCTTCATTTGACCTGACATTGTAAGCATATGCAAAGAGAATGTCTGCTACTCCAAGCAACGCACCATCAACTTCTACATTACTCAAGGTGAATTCTTTACGAGGTAATTTCACCATCAACTCCTTCTCGTCTTCTGTGAAGCCAACTATAATCAGAAATGAAAAGATCATAGTATTTAGGATATATGTAACTGTTGGACTTCCTTTTCCTACACAAAGAATGTTTGGTCTTAAAAGGGAAAGTCCACCGTGATATAAGTTGGTCAGATGAAAGCAGAAGAATCAGAGCAACAAGCCCTGGTTCATAAAACTTGTGATCAATAACAAATGCTAACCTTCTATGACAAATTTGCTCACAGCCAATCAAATGCCATGACTTCAGTAGCTTTTGACAGTTATTGTAACTTGTTGTTGATAACAACTTTTATGAAACAGGGCCCAGATCAGTGAAAGTTGAAGCAAAATCTGATTTTTTTTTTTTTAAAGTTATGAGAATTCTTGTTAACGCACAAACACTTGATAGTGATTCATGATTTCTCTAGAATGCAGTATCTGTGACTAAAATAAAATAATTGAATGTTGAATAGCTTTTGTGGAGAGTATCTTTAGAAATTTGCAAGGAAACACTTATCGTAACTAGGCCTGAGGCGAAACGGGTCCCCGCCCGGGCCCCGACCGTCGAGCTGAAACCCGGTTTTGGGTTTTCGGGTTTCGGGTTTTTCAAAATTAAATTTCACACTGATATTTTGAAATATAGAACTAAAAATATGCAATTCACAAACTTATATTTCTATATAATCAAATAAATATGCTTTAGAAATAAATGGATATTGTTTCAGTTGACGGTAGGTGTTTTTATCGCTCTAAAATTGAGGCTGCAAGAAAGGAATCACGCTTCGAGGTACCGATCGAGTGCGTTCAGAAACGGAAGTGGAAATAGATCTATGACCCACGGAAGACAGCAAGAAAATGCCACACACAAGACTGATCAGACTATTGCAATTAAATCGTAATACTAAAGGCATTAATTTAATTGTCAAAATATATATGTTTTTAAATTGGTTTAATGCTTAATGTTCCGATCAGCTCGGATGGCGGTGTAGGGATATATGTAAACAAAACTTGACTCGTAACTTCAGCTTGCCGTTTATACACGCATTTTTAGAACGAACGGAAGGCACTTCGATGTTATTTCAAGGGCTTTAAATTATTTTCCTTCATCAAATTGTAAGAGTTGTAAACCATTATTTTGTGGACATTTTGACAATTAAATGAATGCCTATTAGTATTACGATTTAATTGTAATAGTCTGATCAACATTTTAGTCTTGTGTGTGGGGCTTTCTTAATCTGCTCAGTCTTCAGTGGGTCATATTTCCACTTCCGTTTCTGAACGCACTAGGTACCACGCACGAAGCGTAATTCCTTTCTTGCAGCCCCAATTTTGAGCGATAAAAACACCTACCGTCAACTGAAACGATATCAATTTATTTTTTAAAGCATCTTAATTTAATTCAATGGATTATTTTATTGTTTTGAAAGCAGTAACTGTCTTTTCCGTCGCATTATTAGAACAGCAACTTAGTCTAACTCCCGCCGTTGCATGCACACGATTTTTAGTGTCAGTGCAGTGGTGAAAATTTCGGGTACCCGGTCCCCGCCCGAAATTTTCAAGTCAAACCCGGGTTCGGCAAAACCCGTGATGATTCAGGCCTAATCATAACACATGACTTCAGTAATTACAAAAGAATTTATCATGGATTGATAGGACTTAGATACAATGTCAAGGGCTTTCAAAACTATATTCTATCCCCTATATGATTTTCATCATTAAAAAGTTTAAAATTAGAAGAATAAAAAAAATAAGAGAAATATGAGAAACAATGCCAACTGGAATGTAGGTTGAGTTCAATATTTACCATTGTACGTGAAGTCTTGACCTGAGGCTGTTTCTCCGGCTAAGACCATCTTTTCTCTCATTTTCTTGTAGTTTTGAACCCATGAAGGTTTGAATTGAAGGAGGGGTTGGATTGCATCATCTTGATACAAGTCAGCTCTGGGGAGAGAAAACACACAAAATGATATATAAAGATGTTAAAACACATATGATTGAACAACCACTGTGACGATTGTAAAGGTTATTCCTCATGCATTTTGTCATTTTTCAGAAATTTCAGCTATGGTAAAGAACCTAAAACCTAAGTTTGGTTATCTTTTATTTCAGATATTATATGAATAGCAAGAAGATAAAAGGCATGCTATCTATGATACACTATTTTCAAGCAACCAAATGTATCGAAATCTGTGTAACTTGGTGGGTGTTCAACTGAACCCTGCTGTAACAGATAAATCCTGTCCATTCTAACATTTAAAGAAGAAAAAAAAAAATCTAATAACAATGATTATACTTACAGGTAATGACTGTCATCAAATTTCTCCTTCTCTGCCATCATCCTAGCTCTCTTTCTCTCTGGTAATGAGATGTTATCTGCCTCATCGATGTCTACCACTCCACAGATCTCATCCTGGACGATGATTGAGAAAGAGAACAAGGGGGAAATCTTTATCAATGCTACTTTTATGTTTAGCATACATGTTATACCTGAAACCATAATACATCATCATACCTGCCAACCTGAGACAAGAAAAATTAGGAGTAAATTTTTCTGGATGGACTACGAGGTCGCGAACCACTGAAGGATTGGGGTAGTAGCCCGTAGATTGGGGGGGGGGGGGGAACTAACGATCACGTTCGGGCTGCGCTGTGTATATCTTCTATGAGCGCGAGCGCGGATGTCGGCGTGATCTGGTTATCAGTGCTGTGTTATGCTTTAGTCTTATACATACATACATACATATTGGTATTTATTGAGCGCCTTTACATGAACATGCTCAAGGCGCTTTACATTTCGAAATACAAACATAATAGTTATATACTCTCCAAGTGCATTACACTCTAAAAAAAAAAAAAAAAATTAAATTAAAAAAAATCTGAGTTTTGAGGCATGCATTCGGAATTCGGAGTTGGTATGAAAAATGCGGAGGAACTCCGCCTAAATCGGGGTGGTTGGCAGGTATGCATCATAAAGCTGTCTTTCTCATGTTGAGATAATACGTCTTTAAAGCCTATCTTCACTAGTTTGGCCAGGAGGGATTAGAGCTCCCTGCATGGTCACTGACAGGTGGTTATCTCATCAAATCGGCTCTCAATTAACATAAGAAAAGCTGACCATGGGGGACCAATGGCTACTGCTTAGGCATTGTTTGCTATATAGAGGGCAGTCTGGCTTTAAACAGATGATTGGTACTATAAAATCAAAGAATAGCATAGAAGAGAGAGACATACTGAAGCTTTTCGTTATTATTCCTCACAGCTTCTGTTCACTTCGACACTATCATCTAATTTGAATAAGTTTGATATTTACTTGTAAATGAATGACATTTCAACTATAAAGCTATCATGACAATTTACATATGTCAATTTAAAATAAAATAATTTCATTGAGTAGCACATTTGTTTATGGTAATATGACTTTAAATGTTATAAAGAGTGTGAAAGAGTCTAAACCATACCCTCAATCTCTTGAAGACACCACTTCTCCTGTTAGCAAAGCCATACGTCACATTTCCACCGAGTCTCCCCCTATCCTCCTCATCTCCACAAAATGGCTGCTGTTCAACCTGCCAATCAAAGTCCTCTTCTACATCTTCTCCATCACCTCTTCCTTCATCATTGCCTACATAGTAACAAAAGTAGAGAAAACAAAGAAAATATGGTTACGTAACAGTAAAACCACACAACAACATGTCTTGCTACCAATGCACATGCAAAATAGGTATGCTAAAGTGAGTAATGGCCTGGCAAACTCGCTTCACCACTTCAAAAAGACATAGCACACAATCTTTCATTTTGTTTAGTCTTTGAAATTTGATACAAAAGTTGTAGTATCTTCCATACTGTAAATCACTGCTAAACTTCATAGAAATACATTGTACCTACCTATTACTTCAATGCATGGTTCTTTAGCTGAAGTTTCTCCAGATGGTGCTAACAGTTTAGTAAGAAGATCCAAACCTTGGAACTCTTCTCCTTCAGACTCCTTTGGAATTCTGACAGTAAATGTTCCTGTGAATATCAATTAAAAATTCAAACACATGAATATTTCCATTCTGCTGATAAGACGAATAACTTCTGCTGTTCCACATAATCAATATTTTGTTATTTGATATGTTACAATCATTTAAATGAGTTGGTTAAATGCAAATCAGACTTTAAAAAAAAACGTTTAAAAAAAATCAGCATTTTTCTGTCATCTGTTAATATTTTGCAAGTTTAGATATTTCTAGGACAGATAAACATCTCATTAGCCCAAAATGATATTGCAATCATAAAATAAGTTAACCCTGTGAATAAAGAGGAACCAATTTTTTTTTTTTTTTTTTGGGGGGGGGGGGGGGTTGTAAACAAAAGTACTTTCAATTCATAACACAAGTTCTGAAATATAGGCTGTGCTGCTCACTTTTTAAAAAACTTATCAATTTCACACCGTGTCTGTAATGAAGATCTATTGCTATCAAAGATAACAAGAGTATAGCTAACTAATTTCTAATCTTCTATTTCTAAAATAAAATGACTGTTACTGCACAAACCTGTATCTACATCATATGAAGCTTTCTCTTTTCCATCTTCTATCAGACGGCCAGGAAGATTTAACCTACCAAGCAAGAAACAAAAAAGTAAGTAAAAGGAGTAAAAGCTATATCTTCGATCTTGTCTCTAAATCATGCATCATTGTGTGATTTCCATCCTACTACCGGTACATATTTTGTATGAGGTTAGCAGATATGGTCAATTACTAGTCAAGTGATATCAGCATCATCCTATCTTTATAACCTTTTGGTTCTTGATACTTTCATAGCTTATGACATGATATGACAGTATCAAAACTCTTATAAACTTAATTTTGTTTAGGTTTGTTTAAATTTCTGGTAACTTTCAATTCAGCAAAACTTAATATATGGAAAACTTCAGTTTCTACAAGTTTCTAGTAGGCCTATAATTATTTTTCCTTTACCCAAAAGAAATGGACCCTTATTAATAGAAGCCTTACAAAGATGGTTGTCATCTAATTACATAAATGCTACAGCACTTTGACTGTTGACAACTAGGCGTTGTACAGTTTATGAAACTCTGCCCTGGGCTGTAATTTCAGTTGAAGTATTCTCCTAAGCATTACAATAAGTTAGTCAATTGGATTAAAATCCATTTATATTCATTTAGCCCTAGCTCTATATTTTATGATAGATATATGTTTAGACATGAATTTTTGTTCAACAATCTCACCTCAGAAAATATGGCTTTGAATGGAACTTGAAATCGGCACCATCAACAAATATTTCTGTCTCCGAAACCTTTGCATAGCGTGCTTTGATGATAATAGTAAGGTAGGATGGGTCCTGCTTTAGCTCAAATGCAGGAGTTAACATGATGATCCAAAAGCTCCCGAAATTTAACGGCAATGGCAAATCTAGAATATAATTAATAGCAAAACAAAAAAATACATTGTATTATACTTTGATGTATATTTCATATGTATTGTACTTTGTAGGTTTATTTGCATTTTGTTTGTTTACTATGTGTAGTGAATTTATGCTCCATTATAGTGTCAACGAACTTTATGTAATGTTTTGATATTGCCTTGTTGTGCCGACAACTTTTGAGAAATTTACGCTGATAATTTATGCAGTTTTCCTGCGACGTCGTATGTTTCACATTCTTGACACATTTTGGCACCTGCCTTCACATATCTCGTCGCCATGGTTTGTTTTGGTAATGTGACCAATCACAGTTTCCGCTGGTCACGTTTTCGCCACGGAGCTGGGGTTTTCGTGACTTAGCCTGCATGATCTCGTAAGATCATCACGTATTGGATTGATTCACTTTTATAGCGATCTTCGCGATTTTTTCATCCAGCAGCTACGGCGACATAGTGTAGCGTTTTCCGTTGGATTTCCACTAGTACACGCCTGTGATTTCTTCACGACAACTGTTAATAGCGAACTGCTTGTTTTCTCTTCGCGACTCGACATCTCGTGACTTCAATTCTGACACTTATTTCACTTGGAATACGCGGTTTATTTACAACGCGCCAGTGGTTATTTTCGTGTACTTTCTTCCTGGGCTAGCATATTTTGATTTACGCTTGTGCTAGCCTGAGGTGTTTATATTTACGTTACTTCATTTTTGCCACAACTTTAGAAGAATGCGATCCGCTTCTCGTACTTTAGCCGAGGCCTCCGGTTATTAGATAGCGTTTATATTACCAACTCTTGCCACAACTAGACTCCACTTCTTCAGTCTTCAGTCTAGTATTTTGTATATAGTCGTCGGGGACATTTACTACGAACACTCCCTCTGTTCCCCAACATTTAGGAGTGTCAATTTCTACAATTCTTCTTCAACGTGTTACACTCGACATTGTATATTGATCAACACACATCGCGATCGCCATTGTCATCTTCATACTACATATATAGGATCACTCTCAAGTTTCTACACAACAAAAGACAGTGGTGAGTAAAAGTTTAGCTCGTACTCATTATAGTCAGCATAGAATTTTTACATATGTTATTGTTTATCATTGTATTTTGTTTGTTATAGCGCTTAGAGACTTTGGTGGTAAGCGCTTTATAAGCACAGTTTTATTACTGTAAAAGTTGAGCCAAGAAAAAATAAACCCTGCACAGTGACTGATAAGATAGATATTATTTGTCCAGTCATTGGTCAACCATATAGAAAAGTCTCAGAAGATGGAAAAGTCTGTAGTCCCAGATCCATGTGAACGACAACATTTTCTGTAGATATTTTTCATTTCAAGCATAACCTTGGATTGCTATGAATCATCTCACATAATAATCGCAAAATGTTATGTTAAAATTGTGAGTCATAACATATCCTTTTTATTTATCATTTTTTTATATAGAAAATCAGGGTCTGCTTTCAAAATGGGTTATGAATTATGGTATCCTCTTAATCGCATATTTGATTCGCTCGTCAATTTTGAGTTTCCTAATTTTGAGATATTCTTTGTTTTTATTAGTTACAGTAACACACGTTTTCATTCAAATTTGATGTTTGTATCATTTGTGCGACCACTCTGAGATTTTTACTATTTCAAATGGTTTGAGTTGAATTAATATTAAAGCCGCATAGTCATAATCTCTTTTTTTCAATTCAGGATAAAATTTGATGGATCAAGATGAAGTATCAAATGTTTATTTTTAGCCGAAAGTATCAAAATCATAAATTTGTAGTTTGTCATGTATTACGGTTTTGTGAAACAGGTTGTACACTTCCTGACTACTCTGGCAGGTCGCGGACAAAGATATAACTGCCATAGAGTTGATTTTGTGAAACAACCCCCTAACTTCCTAACTAAAAATCCTACGTTTCCTAAATCATAATTTAATTTTATGACCATCAACACAAGGTAAGCTTGTGATTTTTTTAGAGTTAAATTCATGATTAAGTATTCAAAATAATGATATTATTTTTTCCCTAATCCTTTTGTACGTGCAATATATCTATACCCTTTTCTAATGAATTGCGAGCCCCTAGATCTATTGGTCTATATATAAATTTCGACCACTAGTTTTAAATGGTGTGGATGTCTCCAAGTGCCTTAAAAAAGGCTAATCGAACATGTTGGCAGGAAGGTACGAAGTCCGAGCGGACGAGCGGACGTGCTTTTCAGAAGCTCTCTAGGAGCTTGTAGATTTCTTGTAGATTTCTTGTAGAATTTTGCCAATATTGTTAAAAATTGCCTCAATACCGGATATAGTTGGGACTGTTTTGCTTCTTTATACTGTTGAACTTTGGATTGAAACTATAGTGGATTCATACAAGCCTATACTTAGGATCAGAGTCAAAAGGTAAGCAAGTCTTGTGGGCTACTAACACATACCGCACCCTTAATTACACGGTAGACTGCACACAATTGAATTTCCCGCCCTTTTCAGGCAACCAACCAGGTCATGGCCGGAGTGACAAACACCGGCCAGGGCGAAGAGCCACCTCTTTTACAACCCAATGAAGAAGATGAATTTCGAACTGTAAATTACTCTCGTAGGGAGCAAAAACCGAGAAATAAACGCAGGCGCGAAGGAAGCATTGCAATTGAAAATCTTTCAATGAGAACAGAATCCTCTTCCTCAGAAGACCAAAATACAACCCAGAACCGCCAATCGGAACTCAAAGTCTTAATTACCCCCATAGATAAATCAAAATCGCTAAAGAATGTGAATCCCATTACTATAGCTAGAAATATCCGTGAAGCTTGTCCAAACCCTGTGGAATTTATCAAACCCACAGCCCAAGGTCTCCTTATCAAATGCAAAAACCAGAAACAAGTAAAAGCACTATCTCAAATTAGTAACATAGGAACCACCCCAGTAAAAGTTGCAGAAAAGCAGCAAGTTGTGAGAGGGGTCATATATGGAGTACCTACAGAAATGACTGATGACGAAATTCTCAATGAATTGAAACACCAAGGAGTAATTGATGTAAAAAGAATCATGAAAAGGTCCAAATCAAATGTAAAATCAATTGAAATTGAAGAAAGCAGACCCAATTTTATCCCAATGAGGAGTGTTATTATAGCATTCAACCGTACAAACCTCCCCAGCAACATAACAATGTGCTATCAACATTTTGAGGTTAAACTATACATTCCCCCCGTTTTGAGGTGCTTTCAATGCCAACGCTACGGCCACGGCATAGCTCAATGCAAAGCAAAGATGAGATGCGTCAGATGCGGGGAAGACCACAAATTTGAGGAATGTAACCGAAAAGAAAGACCGATATGTATAAATTGTGGTGGGAACCATTCAGCAGCCTTTGACGGCTGTCTAGAAGCTAAGAAAGCCAAAAAGATACAAATAGTAAAAGTCAAAAACAATCTTTCATACGCACAAGCTGCAAAAATACAGTCGGAGCAAGAAAAAGCACAGCAGAAACCACAAGCCAACCTCCCTGAATCACATCCCTCCCTCGATGTCAACTCAGATAACCTCCCTCTTCCTCCCCGACCAGTGAGGTCATCCACAGCAATCCGCCCTGAAAACGCCACCCCGCAACTTGATCCCCAGCCCTGGAACACCCCGCTGCAAAAAAACGCACAGAGCAGTAAATTAATAGATAAGGATGGAAAAACTGAAGTAAAACTAGAAGCCCTCCCTCGAGGTAACCTAGTAACATTAATGAGTGATGAGCAAATAATCTCTTTCATTACGCAACTTGTTCTCACTTTTACGGATGGAAAATCCGAGAAGGAGATTTCATCCTTAGTGAAAGTGGCAGCTGAGAGACTGCTCAAACAAAGAGTAAAACATGACGCTAAAGATGTACTGGTATAGCATAGTAATGATGATGACAGCGCTAACCATATTACAATGGAACGCGCAGGGACTTCTTAATCACGGTCCTGAACTTATAAAATACTTAGATTCATATAAAGATGTAAAGTACCATTTAATTTGTGTTCAGGAAACATGGTTCAATGATGATAGAATATTGCAAATCCCTGAATATACATGTTTTATTAGAAACAGGGAAAATCAATCTAAAGGAGGGTGTGCCATTTATGTACATGATTCCATCAACTATGAATATCCAGTCAATGACGAAGAATTCGAAATACAACATATTAAAGTTCATGTTGCTGGATCAAAAATCTCCATAATCAATTTCTATAACCCTTGCAAAAAATTAAACGAGATTGTTTTGAACAGGATGATTAACAAACTAGAATACAATCTATTCCTTATAGTTGGGGATTTCAACTCACATAATCCTGTGTGGGGTAGTGCAAAGATAGACCAAAATGGGCACACAATTGAAAATTTCACACATGACAATAACTTTATAATTTTAAACGACGGAAGAGGAACCAGAATAGATCCACACACTGGGAAAATGTCATGTTTGGATCTTAGCATCACCTCCCCCAAACTATCTTGCCTATGCTCGTGGGAAGTTTTGCGGCACACCCTTGGTAGTGACCATTTTCCCATCTCCACCCAGATATTATTGGACCGAGCAGGGAAAGTAAACAGCAACAGCGAGAAGATAAATGAGGAAACAACTTGGTCTTTTAAAAATTTTGATTGGAACACTTTTGCCGAAAAATGTGAACATAAAATGGAACATAGTGGCAACTATTCCGACCCTACGAAAATGTATAAATGTTTTATGAAAAGTTTGTCAGAGACTATTAAAGAAATAATGCCCCAGAGGGGAAAGAAAAAACATGACCCTGTACCTTGGTGGACAAAAGACTGTACACAAAGTATCAAAGAAAGAAACAGGGCTAATAATAGATTAAAAAGACACATTTCAATAGAAAATCTAAATACATATTTGAAGAAAAAATCAGAGGTACAAAAAACTCTACGCCAAGCAGAACGAAATTACTGGCAAGAATTTTGCTCAAGACTCAACCGCTTTGTACCAGAATCAGCGGTATGGTCTACCATTAAACGGTTAAAGGGGGTATCTGTCAAAAAAACAAAAAACATGTCAGTCCTGATAGAAAATGAAAAAGAAATCACATGTAACAGTGAAAAGACTGAGGCTTTCTCTAAGTTCTTCCAATCAATTAGTAATGTTAAAGAATGTCCAGAAATAAAAGAAAACAAAAATGTTGAGCAACAAGTCACGAAATCACTGAAGCGGGGAATGGAGCATATCTTGAATGAACCATTCACTCTTTTTGAATTGCAAAAAACTCTAAACACATGTAAACAATCAGCTCCTGGAAAAGACAAGATCCCTTATCAGGTTTACCAAAAACTTCCTCAGAAAGCAAAACAATATATGCTAAAGGTCATGAACTTGATATGGGATACGGGTAGCATACCTCCCAGTCTGAAACACTCTATCCTAATACCTGTGTTAAAACAGAATAAAGACCCCCGAAAGGTATCGTCGTACCGACCCATAGCACTTTCCTCATGTTTTGCCAAGATACTAGAACGGATTGTGAAGAATAGACTCCAATGGTATGTAGAAAAGAACAATATACTTCCTCCCCTCATGACTGGCTTTCGTAGTAAACGTGGGGTCACGGATAACATTGTACTTTTAGAGAATGCCATCCAAAGAAGCATTAATGTTGGTGAATATACTTTAGCAATCTTTCTCGATATTGAAAAGGCATATGACAGACTTTGTATCAAAGGCCTTATTTACAAACTATCAGTACATGGTATTACAGGTAATATGCTCGAGTTTCTCTATAACTATCTGAAAGAGCGGACTTTCCAAGTAAAGATTGGTAAAGAAGAATCAAAATTATATGAAATGTACAACAGCCTCCCCCAGGGGAGTGTCTTAAGTCCTATATTGTATAATATCATGATGAGTGATATTCCAACAGATGAATTAATCACCACATCTATTTATGCTGATGACTGTGTCATCTGGATGTCAGGTAATAACATAGAAATTATTTCAAACAGAATACAGTGCTATCTGAACACATTGAGTGAATGGTTTACTAAATGGGGCTTTCGCCTTTCACAGAGTAAATCCTTTCCAGTGTTATTTACTAAAAACAATAAAGCAAAATACCCAGAACTGAAATTAAACAACGACGCACTTTTATTCCAATCAAAGAAGCATTTCCTAGGACTTATATTTGACAAAAGACTTTCATGGAAGACGCACATAGATGCCGTAGTCCTTAGATGTAAAAAGAAACTGAACATTCTTAGGTGCCTTACTGGGACTACATGGGGAAGCTCCTCGAAATCCCTGCTAATGGTATATAGAGCATTGATAAGATCGTTATTAGATTTTGGTTGTGAAGCCTATGACAGTGCGGCTCAAAGTATAAAGAAATCACTTGACTCCATTCAATATCAAGCCTTGAGAATTTGTGCGGGAGCTCTTCCTCTTACATCATTAGATTCACTACAAGTTGAACTAGGTGAAATGCCCTTAGACTTAAGAAGACAGATGCTGGCGGACAGATTCAGACAAAAGATTGAAATGCATCGAGATCACCCTGTCATATTAAACGTTAAGCCCAGCTGGCAAATGGAACTTTTGAAGCTCCAAAAGAATAACAAGCCATTTGGATGCAGAACAGAACTAATGAAACATTGTACTATCGAACCTTACACTATACCTAGTTTCCCCCCTTGGAAAATTAATGCTCCAAAAGTGTCGATAGAATTAAGCGAAATAGTGAACAAACATGAAAACCCATCTTATTTACGTCAACGCAGTTTAGAATTGATCAGTACCAAATGGCCAATACAACTACACATCTATACAGATGGGTCAAAGGTTCCAAGTTTTGGAATAAGTTCTGCTTCTTTTTATGTACCAGCATTCTCCTTTCAACAAGCCAAACGATTGGCGGATCACACCTCATCTTTCAGAGCCGAATTGGCTGCAATTGTCCTTGCGCTTAATTGGCTAGAGAACATTAATGTGTATGTTGGCATTGTTATTTTTTGTGATTCCGTAAGCGCCCTGCTCGCCATAAAGGATGAAAAAGATATTACATTTGTAACTGAAATTATTACATTAAGTACAAAATTATCGTATCAAGGAAAACACATACACTTAGAATGGATTCCTGGCCATTGTGGTGTACACGGAAATGAAATGGCAGATTTTTATGCAAAATCTGCTTTACAAAATAACATTGAAATTTGTAATAAATTATCCTTTTCTGAAATAAAGAGTATTATTACCAGCAAGTATATAAAACTCTGGCAAGACAGATGGAATAATTCTGATAGATCTCTTAGACATATACTGCCTACAGTAAATCAACCATATGAATGTAAGTTGAACAGATTTGAAGAAAGTATTCTCCATAGATTAAGAATAGGAGTGATAGGTTTGAACTTAGATCTCTTCAGATTGAATATACACTCGACAGGCCATTGCAATAACTGCATAGGACGTACTGAAACTGTAAACCACTTTCTCACTGAATGCCCAAAGTACATAATAGAAAGAGCTATGTTACTCGTAGAAACTGATTTATCACATCCACAGGAAATCATGACACTACTTAAACTTTCAGAAATAGTTAAACAAAAAGCAATAGTTCGCTTCGTTTTAAGAACAAAGCGGCTGTATCCAAACAATTAAATTGTTGTTGAGTTTTTTTTTTTTTTTTTTTTTTTTTTTTCTTCTTATCTTCTCTTTTCCTTTTTCTTGCACCAATAAAGCCCACAATACTTGTAACTAATTTGACCATTTACTTTTCTAACAATTCGGTGATCACCTCCAACATCACATGCTAGCTGGCACCCCCTCACCTATGCCGGAGTGACCTAGGTTAAAACCGAAAGTCTGCGAAATATACCTCAAAGACTGGTAAGATGGCATTTTGAAAAGGGTGGGGGTAAGTGCGAAGTACACATGTGCATACGTGAGGTGATATTTGAACGCGCACGTGCGCGTAAACACAAGTACGTACGTTTAGTTTTAGTTTATAGGCGTTTTTTATTCACAACTTGCTAGGCCGTCGTCTCTTTCCAAAATTATTAATTTATTGAATTTTCTCTCTAAAAAAAGTTATAGAGTCTAAAAAGAAAAAAAGAGGAAGGAAAGAGGATGGAAGGAGAAAGAATCCTAAAAATAGTCATTTATGACATGAAATTGTACATATATGTATATATATAAATAATTCATAAAATAGTGTGTGGCAAAAATAGTCAACTGTGACTGATTGCCAAACAAAAACAAATCAAGAAGAAGAAGAAGAATTGACCAATATTTTCTTCATTTCTAAAGACTCGGAGTAGCAGTAGACGTCACTAAAGTCAATATAGACCTAGTTCCAGTTCCCTTGTGTTTGCCGTGTTTCATATCAAGACCATGACACAACGACATGGAATGTTTACTCGCTTAAATTGTAAATAAAAAATTAAAAAATTGCATCAAATTATATTCCACACTTCCAGCATCTTTTAACGCATGTGGGACTTGTCACATTTCCACACGCACACTATCATGACTATCAACTATCGGCATTTCCCGATTATTATCAACATGTCTTTACATATCAAATTGTCAACTTCAAAGAAAATCGCATACATATATCACATAATCACGTCATCATTCTCCTACTTCATTTAATTACCCAATTCGAGAGAGAAACATCAGAATCTTCCCATCTGCAGCAAGAAAGCAAGACAAAATAATTAGTCTAGATCCAGGCGCTCCTTAAAGTTGGTCTCAAAAGATACGTAGCGCTCGATCGATAATTAAATCCGAATAAGTAAATCACCTTGGAAGGCCTTGGACCGTCGACCGGGCCTTGGACAATCACCCCGGAAAATTACCAACCTGAAAACTACCCCAAGGACAATTACCCCCAGAAAATTACCCCCTATGACAATTTTCCCCCATGGAAAATTGCCCCGGCCCCGAGGAGATTAACCACCATCCCTTAACCCCCCCCCCCAAGGACATCCTAGGACAACTATCCCGAGGACAATACCCCTCCCCCCGAAAATCACCCCCACCTGTTCATTAAATGGGAAGTCTACCCTAATAATGAGTAAGGTTTTAATATGAGCATTTTTTGGGGGGGGGGGGTCGAAAAAAAATTGATTTTTAGATGGCCTGTTTTTTCCATGCTGGGGTTGGGCGTTCCATTTTCCTTATGTCTTTAATATTGCCCTTCCCAAAGCCTTCCAGTCTTCAGCATACATGTATGCCTGGATTAGGTCAGATACTCATTACTCACATATCTTCTACTCTGCTACACTACATGTAGGCTACTATATGTCCAAGGACATAGGACAACTATCCCGAGGACAATACCCCTCCCCCCGAAAATCACCCCCCCCCCCCACCTGTTCATTAAATGGGAAGTCTACCCTAATAATGAGTCGGGTTTTAATATTAATAAGAGCAGTTTTTTTTTTTTGAGGGGGGGGGGGTCGAATAATTCCAAGGGGGTAATTTTCAGGAAGGGGGAGGGTACATTTTTTCTCATTTTTCTGTTTGCCCAGACAAAATATTTGATTTTTAATCAGAGGCAATGTATACCCGCGGGGGATATGGAATGGGTCACTACTCTAGTTTCCCCCACTCTTTTCAAGTGTCCTGAAAATAATTGCTTCTTTCCTCTCCTTTCATAATGATTCCTCTCCAATAAATACCATTAAAATATCATAGCAATTATCTCTTGTATTGATCCCCTGCCATCCCTACTTATTAAGAAGCCGTAAAAATGAAGCTCAAGCTTTATTATTTTGAAGTTCTCCTGCAATGGACTCTAAACAGGAGGCCTCGGGGATATAAGCACGTACGAGCCCTTTTTCAAAAAAGACAAAAGAAAGAAAAGCTCTTATTTAATTTCACATTAAGTGTCCTATTGCATGTTAAAGGAGGAATCATGTAACATGTGAATCATTACCTTGGGAAATGAAACAGAGTGCCTTCCAAAGCTCGCATAAAATTCTTTCTCTCTATATATGAATCTCCGTATGTAGTAGTGCTTGGAATGCGGAAGTCTATCCATTTCATTGAATACTATATGTAATAAGGCTTCATTTTACTACTACCATGTGACCTTAATTTCACTTCTAAAAAGAATTACTTTCAGAGGGCAATTAAGTCCCGAATGTATATTTACTTACTAATTTAAGTTTTTCCCTGCCAGTGCGCGGTTCTTTAAAAAAAAAAGCGATGTCGTGCGATAGACTGATGGAAACATTTGCATTTTTTAATTTCGAAACATTATAAAACACGCTTTGGGGCGCCTTTTATTATACATTTCGGAGGTGGCGACCTCTAAAGTATTTTGTATGCAAGAGAGTGCAACTAGCGATGATTTCCATTCTAGAACAGTAAAACTTTTTAAAGTGCTTCAGGGCCTAAAGTGTCTGTTGAAATTGAAGCTTTAGTCATTATTTTCTCTCTTTTTTTAGGGCGGGGGTGTAAATTCTTCATTGAAAAATCGCAGGGGTACGTATCCCTCCCACCCCCCAATATCACAGCCTATAGGCCTCTTTGGAAATTTCTATTTGATCGCTTGTTGGATGGCCGCACCATTCCCCCTCAAAAGCATTGGAAATAAAAAATTATCTTTAAGAAGTAATAAGTTATTACTTATTATCCTATTTACTTTGTTATTATTCCATCGGGTCGTGGATTATACAGAGCTATCAAAGCCTACCAACAATGCAAACTAGGACTAAGTATCGAAGTCAGGCCCGCCAACATCTTTAAAAAATAGATCTTCGGAAGATATTTACCGGGGTCTCCACTTCAAAAGGCAAATGCAATATACAGGGCCTGCATCCGCGCGTGCGTGTCATCCCGATGTGCCATCCGGAAGTCTGCGTGTGCATATCACAGTCTTGTGCATGTTGAACTTGCGGACACGTACGGGTGCGCCAAATCATCATCATCATCGGATCTCGCCGGAGGAGCAACAGACTGATTATTCACTTTTTCTAACCAGGAATCTGCTCTTAAAATACGAATTATTCTATTCCCTGTGTATACCGGACACCTGTATAGATATGGATGAGAGCTACGATGTTATTGTGCTTGGCACAGGTCTGAAGGTAATGCAAATTGTGATTTACAGCTAATCATCTCTTTTGTGTGTTGCATTGAATTTGTGCACAAAGCTTGTTGTAATATGCGGACACTTTGGAATGAATGGGATGGGCGTGTGTCTGTGTGGCAATTGATCGGGAAGCTTGGACTCTCCATAATTCAATGTCTGCAAGCTCGGACATGAATGCATGGAATCGTTTTTATTCATCGTGAAATTGAATGAAGTGATAGGATATAAACGTTTTTTGATTGTGAATGAATGTAAAAACTAGAGATCTACCGTATGCATTTGCAGCCATTTCTTGATCTTTTATAATGTTCATCTTGACTGTTGTGTTTCAGATTAGACAACAAACGCGACGTCAGGCAGAACGTTTGTGACTTGACAGTTGCCTAGTTGAGGCCCTAGCCTTGGGATATATGAATCATGATGGTTTTCTCTTCCAATCTGATTCTGTTCACATAGACCCTATATAGTATAATGCATATAAATATTGTTTTTAATAAATTTCTTTAATTTTTGCTTGTAAAATTGTATGTTTTCATTTGTTCATGATTTTCTTTGTTTGTGCAATTACCCTTTCAGTTGAGAGATTGACAGGGGTTGCCAGTTGTGACTCCTTTCTGTTTTGCTTGATACGCTTGTTTACACTTGATAATTTTTGATTTTTAGATGGCCTGTTTTTCCCATGCTCTGGGGTTGGGCGTTCCATTTTCCTTATGCCTTTAATATGGCCCTTCCCAAAGCCTTCCAGTCTTCAGCATACATGTATGTCTGGATGAGGTCAGATACTCATTACTCACATATCTTCTACTACATGTACTTTACCTTTACCTTTACCCGAGATTCTGGAAGAATGCTGTGTTCTCAGCAGTCGGGCTTCCAGTTCAATTTCCTTTTCTTCCTTCTCGTAGTTGGGTGTCTTCTTGGTAAGTGTCTGGCTCAGTTCTGCGTCGGGTATTCTACTCATATGGGGAGCAGAAACGCTTGTCCTTCCATACTCGATCCAGTCTGGCTTTAAAGGCATTCACCGTGGTAGCAGTGACCACCTCTTCAGGAAGTGTGTTCCAGTCATTGACGACACGTTGGCTGAATGCATCCTGTCTAATCTTCGTTGAGCATCTTTGTTTTACGATCTTTAGACTGTGGCCTCTTGTGTTGCTAGTCGAGTGTTCAAAGAAGGTATCAACTGGGATGCGTTCAAGTCCATGGATGATTTTGAAAACCTGAATCATGTCGCCTCGCCGTCTGCGATATTCGAGGGAGGGAAGGTTGAGCGCCCGAAGTCTCTCTATGTAAGGACGGTTGCGGATGTCATAAATCATTTTGGTAGCTCTCTTCTGCACCCTCTCTATGGTTTTGGAGTCTGTCTTGAAGCGAGGGTACCATATGGAATCTCCGTAATCTATGAGAGGTCTGACAAGGCCTTTGTACAGCTTTGGAATTGTGGACCTGTCTCTGCACTCAAAGCTGCGACGGATGCAGGAGAGTACTCCGTTGGCTTTCTTGACAGCATATGCCACATGGTTATGGAACTTTAGCTCGTCATCAATGAGGATGCCGAGGTCTTTCTCCTCTGATGTAGCTTCAAGGACATCATCTCCAAGGGCATAGATGTGTTTGACGTTTCCTGGGCCTATGTGTAGTACTTTGCACTTTTGTGTGTTGAAGTGCATTTGCCATGTATTGCTCCATTCCATTAGTGCATCAAGGTCAGATTGGATTGAGCACAGATCATCTTTGGTGGATGCTTTGCCATACAGTTTAGTGTCGTCAGCATAGATCTTGACAGACCCTTGAAGTCCATCTGGTAGGTCATTGATGCACAAGACAAACATTGTTGGGCCGAGAACACTACCCTGCGGCACTCCGCTCCTTACTTTTGTCCAGTCAGATAATTTATCATTGACTCTAACTCTCTGGCATCTACCTTGGAGGAAGTCTGCTATCCATTCCTTAATTTGGCCACATATACCGTATGTCTCAAGTTTTGATAGAAGGCGAAGGTGAGGTACACTATCGAAAGCTTTCTTGAAGTCTAAGTATACCACATCAATAGGGGTTCCTTTATCCAGCATCTCAGTCCATGCCTCCATGACAGTCAGAAGCTGTGTCACACAAGAGCGTCCTGGAACAAAGCCATGCTGTTCATCACACAGTAGGTCATTTTCCATCAGGTGGGCAACTATCTCATCTCGAATTAGTGACTCCAGAATTTTGCATGGTACTGATGTCAAGCTGATTGGTCTGTAGTTCTTAACATCCATCTTACTGGCTTTTTTGTGGACAGGTACCACATGACTGACCTTCCATGCACTTGGTAGTTTGCCTTCCTTCAATGATGCATTGTAGATTATGGAGAGGGGCTCTGAAACTGAGGCGGCTGTTTCTTTTAGAACGCAAGGGTGAATGCCATCAGGTCCTGCACATTTGTACTTTGACAGGTGGACAAGCTTCTTATAAACATCATCTTCAGAGATTGAGATAGATGTCAATGTCTCTCCTTTGTGTCTTGGTGGGAGTTTTGGAATGTGCCCTTTATCCTCATCAGTGAATGTAGTGGCGAAAAAGGTGTTCAATGCATCCGCTTTTCCTTTATCAGTTGATATTCGTTCACCGTCTGGAGTTCTGAGTTCGCCTAGTCTGCAAGAGGTTTTGAGTTTGCTATTTGTATACCTCCAGAATGCCTTGGGATTTGATTTCACATTCATAGCCAGGTCTTTCTCAAAATTCCTACATAACTGCTTGGTCAGAGTTTGCAGCTGCTTGGCTAATCTCCTTGCTCTCATAATGTCCACAGGATGTTTGGTCCTCTGTGCCTCTTTCCAAGCTCGATGTTTCTGGCTTTGTTTCCTCAGTGCCTCTCTAGTCATCCATCTCTGTTTCTTTCTGCGGTGTTTGGGTTTTGACTTCGGTATGAACTTCTCCATTTTTTCAGTCAGGGTGACTAAAAAGAACTCCCAAGCATCCTCTACACTTTTATTCTCCAATTCAGATTCCCACTCGATTTGGTCTAGCTCTTTACACATATCATCATACTGCCCTCTGTAAAACTGGAGGTGAGGAGTTGGGGTGTGGGTGTCTGGTGTGTATACTGTAAGGCCAAAGAGGATTCCAATATGATCACTTCTTCCAATTCCAGGTACATAGTCTATGTGGTTGATCATGCCGTCCTCGTTCGTGAAAACCAGATCTAGCATACTGGAACGCTGGCCTTCTCTGTATCTGGTATGTTCCCCAATGTGTTGGTGTAGATAACAGTCAGCGACAGTTTCAAGGAACTCCTGTTCAGTATGGGACCTTGCCCTTCCAAGCTTCCAATCAATGTTGGGATAGTTGAAGTCTCCTGCTATTAGGACATGGGAGGAGTTGATTGATGTGACTTGTGTAAATGCTCGTTTCAGTTCCTCATGGTTGTCTAGTGATGGGCTTCTGTACATGCATCCAATCAGTAGTTTGTCTGAGCCTCTAGGCTACTATAGCGTCTCTTCCAGGTTTTACGAGGTCTGACACAGGGTTTGGGGGCGGCAACTTTGAAATTCACTGCTTTCTGAAGCCTAACCACAAGACCATGCGATCTCAATCTAGTCTACCCATCTTTATCTCCTTTGAGATTTTTATCAATTCTCTGATTCTGAATGGCCTTGGAAGGATATCTTCATTCTTCTTTCTATTATGTAGAGAGATCTTGCACATCTATCTAACATCCTCATCTCGGCCTGTTTCATATCCTGTATACACGATGACTTGATCATGAACTAAAAACTTATGAGAGCTCCATTTGCAATTTTTTATTCTTCCATGCAAATATGAATTTGTTTGAATAACTATACAAGAAATTGAATTTTGATCATCCATGTACATGTATAGTAGATGTACATGGCACAGCTCATCAGATTGATGTTTGAAGTGTAGCTGCTTGCTTTGATTTTCCATGTGTGTTGTTTAGATCAGTATTTGCATGCTTATCTCTATTCTCCTTACAAAGAACAAAATAACAAATTGACAATGTTTTAGTTTTAAATTAATGTTATTCTTACATGCAAAGATGGATGTACACGTGTATTATTAAGTGATCAATCCTTTGAAAAGGATAGGCTAATGAGGAAGCAAATACAATGAAAGAAGCCATTTGTAAAATTTGAGAAAAATCGGACATTGAGTATCAAAAGAATAATGATTTTTGCCCGTGCCCTCGTTGCATGACGCATAGTATGGAAAAATATAAAAAACCTGTTTTATCTTGAACATTTTTGTGCTTTAAAAATGTAAAGCCATAAAGAATGGCAGAGTACTCATTGTGTGACATCATACATCATTGTGGACTTGCAAATAGGAGATTCACTCTTAGATCGTAATCACTTTTTATTTCATCAACTGATTTCTTAAAGTTTCATTGATATGTTTGTCTGATTTTTCTGCTTCCACTAATCAACAAACATGTACTTGAGAGGTTGAATTCCCTGTACCGGTAATACATTTGCGTTACTTTCATTCATGCTTCATTTGATTTATGTACAGTTACATGTACATACCTTTTAGTTTAGACATACCAACAGTAGTACAGTCATTTTACAAAAATGGCTCCCAAGCCTCTCACTAATTGCAACAGAAAATATTTCAACTCTTTTTATAGTATCATGAAAATGCACTTTAGAACATGTAGAAAGGTCTAAGGAATCCAGGTTGTAGAAAGTGTTGACAAAAAAAAAATCCAGGCTAATTAACAATAGAGCTGAGTCAGGCCAACTTAGGTTCAGTTGTATGCTAGCCTAACAGAGCAGCATGCACAACATACATCAACGGCTCTGAGCAATAGCTTACAAGGATACCCTCTGATGAAATCGTGAAAGCAAATAAATTACATTACAAAATATAGTACTAAAATTTAATACTACATGAATTGGGTTTCCTAGCATAAAAAAGAGAGAAACAGGGTTAAGACAGAATAAAGAGAGAAACAGATGGAAATATAGAAAGTTAGTGAGAGAGAGAGAGAGAGAGAGAGAGAAAGGGGGAGAAGGAGAGGAAAAAAGGTAACATAATTGTTAGATTACAGCAGAGGCTGTGTGGTGACCATGTAAGAAATTTATTTTTCATAAAATTCTGCTTCAAATGTTATACCGGAAAACATTACAATTAATTTATTACAAGTCTGACAGTGGAGGGGGGGTTGGGGGTCAAAGATCTGAATGACATGGTATATCTTTCTACCATGGATTATTATTTTTATGTGAATCAGTGGCAGAGGGAGGGATTATTTCTTCTGAATATTAATCTGTTCTGTTCTTGTTCCTGCTCTTCAAATATTGTCGACCAAAAAGAACTGTAATGTTCGGATCTTAATGATGTCCCTCACCTTCATCTTATGATCATCATTATTATCATCATCATAAACATCATCGTCATCGTCGTTGTCTTCATCATCGTCATCGTCGTTGTCTTTATCATCTTCATCATCTTCATCATCGTCATCATCAGTATCAATACCATTATCATCATTATCACTAAATTGATCATCATCATCATCGCATCATCTTCATCATCACTTTCATCTTACGATCAACATACAATTTTACAATATCCTATCCTACATTGAAACACATTTTCAGCACCACTATTGGTACTTGAGTTGTTGAAATTAAATATGTGGATCATGACTTTTATACAGATATGAGATAAATTAGTTTGAATCTAGAAACATACAACATTTGTAGACTACTAGACTTATACTTCTCCAATAATATGTAATTCTACTTTTATCAAGAATTGACAAGACTGTAATGTTAAAATCATAAATATGTGGCTATTTTTTTCTTCTTTTTTTAGGAAAGTGTGCTGAGTGGACTTATGTCAGTGAACGGCAAGAAAGTTCTTCATCTGGATCAGAATAAGTACTATGGTGGAGAAAGTGCATCTCTAACTCCCCTCAAAGATGTAAGTTAATTTATTGTTTAACAGGACTTTAAATAAGTGGTATAAACAGGTTAAATTTAAGATAGAATTCAGTAAAATCATTCTCAAGTTTGATTCTGAATCCCTACCAGTGTCAATCCATGCCATCCATTTTGTATGCAATTTACATGTACACACATGTATATACCGGTAAGTAATAAGTGATTTTTGAGGTTGAATTAGAATAAAAGTTACCCTGATATAATTTAGGGAATTAATAAAGCTAGCTAAAAGAGAAAATCAAGGGCAGTTTAATTCTCATATATGTCAGCTGCATGATAATGTACATGTATACTGGATCATTAATTCCAATAACGTTTGTCTACTTTAATACAACTGCACCTACCGTAATTAACGGTGTATTAACCGCACCTTTTAGCCGCCGAAAAAAAAATCAAAGTCGGGGGTGCGGTTTATACACGGTACACCAAAAAAAAAAATTGTTTTTTGTTTTGTTTTTTTGTTGCCGACTTGGCGCAATGCCTGGCAATGTCTCCCAGCTCAGTAATTGATGTGTTGACTCACCACTCAAAAAACTAGAACAACACTCAAATTTGTCTGTCATTTTGGTTTGAAAGTAATCTTGATAGATTTCAATATGTAGTTGATAAAAATAATTCCTCCAATTTTTCTTCTATTACACGGCGTACCACAAGGTTCTATTCTATCCTAGGTCCTCTACTGTTTTTTGAGTCGACAAAAAAAAAGGGCGATAAAGAGGGGTGCGGTTAATACACGAGGGCGGTTTATACAACGTTAACTACGGTATTCATATCCTTCATTCACACATAATTTTTAAAATGCTATTCATGTACATGTAGTACTGTACATAATGTACAGAACATGTCAGAGGATTATGTGTGTGTGTGGGCCTTAACAATCAAACCTTGCTGCCAATGACACACCACATGCAAGGCAGATTTGTTCAGCTAAATCCATGCATGAATATATACATTCTATTATATACTGCACTAAATTAAAATGGATATTATTCTCACATTTCTTCCCCAATTTATAGCAGAGCCAAATTAGAAGCAAAAGAAAACACCCATGAAGGAATATAACGTGGCTGTAAACAAACAGTAATTAAATAGTTCTATAGTGCTCTTCATTTGATACATTTTGTAGTTTTGTGTACATGTAAGCCTTATACGTTGGGTCGAGCAGTACAATTCAATCTAGGGTACATGTATGCAATATGACCTTGGCCATATCTGTGTGTCTGAATAGAATACAAGTGTGAACTATTTGTCCATACAATGCAATGCCAAGAGTGTGACTAATACATGTACATTTATGGAATTAAAGGGAAAGATTACCCCCTAAAAATGTCAGTTGTTCTTTTGTGTGCTCTTGATATATAAATTTTGGAAATCTCAAAGCTTTGAATTATTAATTGCATAAATTGGAAGTGTTCAAGGATTCTTAGTACAGATCTCATGAATATAGCATGATTCTTTACCCAATAATATAGTTGTTTTTGTTATACATTAGGATAGGGTATTTTGATAATCTGGTAAGCCTCTAATATCATAAATGTTACATCAGGAAGATGCTGCCAAAATATAATATTGATTATACAGATTATTTCATTTCATTTCAAACCTGCACATATTTCTGGTAATTTCTACCAAATACATGTATACACTTTAGTTTCAAAATGATCGAGTAGACATTTCCATATTCACTACTACACTCTACATTAAATCATACATACTTAAAAATATGTACCGGTATTTCGGTCATTTTAGATGCATCTGATGATATAATTATATAGTATTCCACTTATATAGCTTAATGCTTAATACAATGTCTCAGTGTCGCTAATCTGTTTGACTTGTAAAATGTATTCCTTTTAATTGTGACATTTTGAATTTCTACAGTATGCAGCGAGTCATTGACTAAATGTTTATTCATGGTGGCTCTCAGCAGGGATCTTTATATGCACACATTATTTTTACAGCATGGAATTACTTATGACAGTCACAGACATACTTTTCATAGCATGGTGTAGACGGATTATCGCTGGAAATGAGATCATACTAAGCCAGGATACATGACATGTAACCATTCAACTGTACATACTCATGTACTTGTAGTTCATGACCTTGCTCGTCTTCTATGTGACTGCTAGTGTGAATGCTAGTGTGAATTATTTATCCATACACATGTACATAGTCCATTGTCTGTACATACTGTATACAGTTGAAACTGAGTGCATGATTATACATGCACCATATGATAGACAGATAACAAGCATACAGATTATTCTGTGGTACTTCAATCCGTACACAACATTCTGTAATTTTTAATGCCACTGTTTGTAATTTATTCAAGAAAGACATGTTTTTTTCAAATTCATGATTAATTTTGATTTGATTTATCTGACGCTGCTAGGTAAGGGTTTTAAGAAATCAAAAGAAATTGTTTGATTTTGCTCTTAAGTTGATGCAAATTAATGCATTAAATGCTTTTCTGAATTTATTTACCAATGTGTATGTTCTAATTGGATTATTTCTGTTTTCCCTCTCTTCATTTTATCTGATAGACTAGAAAGGGCTCTAAAACACTTTTTTTTCCACACAGCATTTTTGACCTTCATTGATTATGCTAATTTATTTAAATATCAAAATCACAAGTACATGTAATGCCAGTTCTGATAGTTTTTGTTTACTATAGTAAAGAGTTGGAATGTATACAGTATATCACTTATTCCATACTTAGTAATTATCTCATTTATTATTAACTTCTTAGTACCAGGTCCATGATTCAAGCCTCTAAATCCCTTCCCCTCTCACTCTCCCTCTCTCATACTCATGCTCACTTTCTCTCCCCCCCCCCTCTCTCTCTCTCTCTCTCCCTCTCTTTCTCTCTCTCTCTCTCTCTCTCTCTCTCTCTTTCTCTCTCCCTCTACCTACCTGCCTACATGTACCTGCCTACATGAGTGTTTCATTGTTGTATGTTTGTTTTGCAGGTGTATACATACTTCACGAAGGAGATGCCAGGTGGTGATGACAGCATGGGGAGAGGCAGGGACTGGAATGTGGATCTCATCCCAAAGTTTCTCATGGCAACAGGTAAACCAAACATAGGAATTGGGATCCCCCAATGAAAAGCAACCTTAAAACTCATTTGTACTAAATAAATCTATTTAAAAAAAATAAAATAATAATAATAATAATAATTTAAAGGGAGAAAAAATGGGTACCGGGTACATATTCATGTAACACCAATGGAAATCAAATTTCGTGTATTACATAATATACAATGAAATGAAAATGAAAAATACAAATTCGTTTTCACTGGGTGCCTGCCGTAGCAAAAAGCAGATTTGACAAAAGACTTAACTCCGTTTCGTTGACAATCAGCCATGCATGAAGACTCGTCTACGGCTGATTGTCAACGAAACGGAGTTAAGTCTTTTGTTAATTTCGTTTATTGATACGGCGGGCAGCCAGTGAAAACGAATTTGTTTAATAAAATTATGGAAATGCAAGCACTACTTTAAACAAACAGAACTTTGTCATTCCTCGCTCATTTTTCCTGATTGAGGTGTCGTATGAAAGGGCAGAAACTCAACTTTCTAGAAATGTGAATTTTTCTTCGAAATTCAGATACCGCCCGCCAAATGTCTTTTTAGTTTAATTCCTTCAAATTGCTTTTAATCACTCATGCGTGAAATATGCATCATCTGAGTAGCATCACATGAAAGAGGAGACTCTAAGCTTTCCAAATATGTATCATTCATTAATTATAGTTGTGATTAAGTTATAATAGAACATCGATACTCCCGGTTTCGTTTTTTCTGGGACGCACTGTATAGAAAATGAAACTTGCTGTTCAATAGTTCACTGTTGTTACTTCTATTATTAGACCATTTTAGATAAATTACAGAAAAGATGTAACAAAATCCTTAAAATTTATGAGATTTTCACATTTGCCATTATTTCTATATGTTGTCATGTTACATTATCTAGTGGTTACTAATGGCATCCCATTCCTATTTTCTAGGTAAGCTGGTGAACATACTGATCAATTCTGGAGTGACTCGTTACCTGGAATTCAAGTCGGTGGAAGGGAGCTATGTCTTCAAGGATGGCAAGGTCCACAAGGTCCCTGCTACAGAAACAGAAGCACTGACATCTTGTAAGTTTATCATATCAACTAGAAGAGAATGAAAGACAAGTGGGGTTGAGAGTGTGTGTAATATATGGAAGAGAAAGTGAGAGGAAAGAGAGAGATAGGTAAAGAGAGGGGAGAGAGTGAGAGGGGAGGAGAGAAGAGAAGAGAAGAGAAGAGAAGAGAAGAGAAGAGAAGAGAAGAGAAGAGAAGAGAAGAGAAGAATAGAAGAGAGAGAGAGAGAGAGAGAGAGGGGGGGGGGGTAAAGAGAGGGTTGGGTGGGAGGGAGGGAGGGGGAGGAAGAGAGAGGGGGTGGGAGGGAAAAGGAAAGAGAAGAGGGAGGATGGGGTTGAATGGGGCAGGGGCAGGATATTCGTAATTGATATTAGTTTTTCTCAGCTTTGAAATATGTTCTGATTAGTACCTACATACTTGATGGAACACTGTAGATAGTGGTTCATTCACTAGACTCTAGGTGGCAAGGTTGAGGGTTCAAATCCTTGCCTGGGAGATATGTCCCAAGCCGAGGCATTCTTATGATCTGTGTGCTCTCTTAACTCTTGTGTGAAATGGGTACCAGACAGGTTTTTTTTTTCCTCTTGAAATGCATTATGCATGAGAAACTGCCTCCTCTGCTAAGTTGGTCATTATTTCAAAGATACTTCTTATAATTTCTTTACTGTATGGTGATCACAGTTTGCTGCTGATACATTTCCCTGTGCTACCTTAATGAAAACAAGAGGCAAAGGGAGCAGCAAAATGTGATTGCTATAATGCTATTACAGGTAATTCAAATTTTATTTTTTTATCTTAAAGGTATCTTTGATAGTTGTTTTGATATAAAAAGAATAGCATGTGTATGACTAGATCCATTCCATTCCTGCAGCTTTGTTGAGCTTGGGTGAGAAGAACAGCTTCAGAGGATTCCTGAAGTACATCGCTGAATTCAACCCCGAAGACCTGAAGGATGAAGTAGACCCTGAGACGACCACTGCACAGGAACTCTATGATAAGTTTGGATTGTCCAAGTCTACCGTTGACTTCACTGGCCACGCCCTGGGTCTGTACAGAGATGACAGGTAATGTTCCCTTCTTAAAGCCCCACTGTACTTCTTATAGCTACTTGCGCCCTCTATACAGCAAACAATGCCTAATTGGTGACCATTGGTCCCCCATGATCCTCTTTTTCTTATGTTAATTGAGAGCGGGAAATCCCTCCTGGGCAAACTAGTGCAGAGGGGCTTTAAGACCACTCCAGAGAAACAAGAAATATACTTTATAATGGACAGGTGGTCTGTCTATCGGGTATCATGTAAAACAATTTTCAGTAAGGAATGCTGTTAAATGCTGGATACAAGGGTATATCCCACTCGCTAAGGAGCATATTTCACGAGACGGCACGATGAGTGAAGTACCTCCAAAAAAAGGAGAAGATTTCATAAATTATATTTCATTCATTTTCAAGGTCAAAACTATATATGGCTGTAATTTTATAATCTTTAAGAAATTTGCCAAATAACATATATTTTTTGCTAATTCCATTGAGTACTCTGTTTCTCTGTCTCTCTCTCTCTCTCGAGTGTTTAGATGACATACGGTACATATAATTGTCTTTTTTTGTTATTGCAGCTATCTAGCACAACCGTGCGGGAAGACTATCAGGAGGATCAAACTGTACTCTGAAAGCCTTGCTCGCTATGGCAAGTCACCGTATCTCTATCCAATGTATGGTCTAGGAGAGTTACCACAGGGATTTGCTAGGTAGGTCTTCATTCATTGGGTTCCTACATTAACTATCTGCATTAATGTTCAGTTCGGTCCTGTTGCCTAAAACTTACCATTGATGGTAACTTTGCCATCAATGGCAACTACCATGGTTTCAGGGCTGAACAGCCAATCAAATCAAGGTTTCCATGGCAGTTATATAGAAAAGGTTGACTTGATGTTGGAGGTGATAGACAATAAATTTGTTAGGTGTGTTATTCTTTTCATTTGTATGCGGAAGAAATAGAATTTCACTTGGAAAGAATCGCTCTTGAAATGCCCTCCTACCCCAAATTGACAAGAAATGGTTTGGATAAAATGTTGCTGACTTACGTATGTAATCCTATATACCTGTATTATGTCTTTGTGCAGTGCTTTTTGCTGAATTTTGATGATTCTGAAATCTAAAAATGCTCAATTATTCTTATAAAATATGACATAATCAACCAACCATTTCAAATAACTCCCAGACAGTTTCTGCATCCCCCCCCCTTCAGTTCTTTACTAACCTATGTTGCTGCGGTATGACTTGTTTCTTCTATCAGACTGTCTGCTATCTACGGAGGTACCTACATGCTAGACAAGCCCATCGATGAGATCACGATGGAGGATGGAAAGGTCACGGGGGTCAAATCTGGCGGTGAGGTCGCCAAGTGCAGCATGGTGATTGGCGATCCTAAGTACTTCCCTGACAGAGTCAAGAAGGTTGGACAGGTTGTTCGTGCCATCTGCTTGCTGAATCACTCTGTACCTAACACCTCTGATGCGGCTTCTTGCCAGATTATCATCCCTCAGGGCCAGGTCAATCGCAAATCTGGTGAGTTCGACCAAATATCCTGCTAATTGCAACTGCGGGCTAATGAATATGCAAATTAACTGGTTATTTTGCGATAGATTGCGGGATAGTTAAAATAGCAGGTTATTTGGCAAACTTGAGCTGATGAAGACAGGCCATTTTGAGCCAGAACAACTTCAGGCACTTTCATCTTAGTTCAATTTACTGTGATGGAAGATGATCACTGCCCAGCAGCACAGGAACTTTGACACGCTGGCTACTCAGTTCTCTTATTTCCATAGTCGTAAGTTGTAATGTCACAAATAAATGGAATCACAACTGACACTCAACAGTGGAATTAGTTTGCAAAGGTTTAATTCCCCCAAATCGGCTGTCATTTGCAATATGCAATAGTTTCCTGTGGTAAAGTTTTTTTTCTTTTACAGTAAAATAAAATGATGGGTTCTGGGCAATTTTCAATATCTATATAATAAGTTGCTCTTTTCCTCATGTTTATTTTCCTCATCCTCACACTTTATCTACCAGATATCTATGTCCTGATCGTATCCCATGCCCACCATGTTGCTACCAAGGGACACTACATCGCTCTAGTTGCTACCACGGTTGAGACAGGCGAACCCGAAGATGAGTTGAAACCAGGTCTAGATCTGCTTGGCCCCATCGTCGAGAAGTTTGTGTCTGTCTCGGACATGTATGAACCAAATGATGATGGCAAGGAGAACCAGGTAAACACTCCCCCCAAGGAAAATTTACAGATAATATTGACAAAATCACCACAAAATGTGTGACAGTTTGTAATAAATTCATACATGTATTGGTTAGATATATTTTTGATATATAATATTAACTGAAACTAAGATATCAACTTATAAAGCGCACATATCCATTCTAAAAGACTGCTCAAGGAGCTCTGAACAATATCAAAATAATTATGTAATATTAAAACTACAACATAAACAAATGGTGCTTAAGTTTCTTCTGAAATATTTCAATTGATGATGATCGTCTTATTTGTAATGGTAAAGTTTTCCATAATTTGGGTGCAATGTTAGCAAAAGCCTATCTGGGAATGTAGGTGTGATACTCCATGGTCTTATTATGTTTTTAATTTAACATAGATAGATTTTTATGTCCTTGATATTTCAATAACTGAAATGCTTTGAACAATCTCTGTGAATACATAATCAACTGCCCATGCGCAGCTAAGCTTTGCACCCTGAGCATATTATTCATGTGGAGTTGACACATTATTAATACTCTTTATTATAATAATAATAATAATAATAATGTAACTTATATCGCGCCAAATCCACTCTGTGGAGTGCTCAAGGCGCGTGTAAACAGGAAAAAAGATCAAGACTTGAAAAGAAATGTTTTGAGATGAGTTTTGAAAGAATCAGAGGATAAACATTTTTTGATGTCTTCAGGAAGGCCATTCCATAATTTAGGACTAGAGTATGCAAAAGATCTTTCCCCCCACGTTTTGGTAATTTTGGGGGTTACAAGAAAATTGGAAGTGGATGAGCGTAGAGGTCTTGCAGGAGTGTAGTTTTGGATTAGAGAGATAAGGTATTGAGGAGCAGAGCCGTGAACGCAATGAAAGGTGAGCAACAAAATTTTGAAAACAATGCGATCTTTTACTGGGAGCCAGTGTAGCGACTGCAAAACTGGGGAAATGTGGGTACGCTTGGTGGTCAGAGAAACAATACGAGCTGCAGCGTTTTGAAGCTTCTGAAGCTTGGACACTAGATTCTGGGGTAGATTGATTAGGAGGGCATTGGCAAAATCAAGACGGGAGGAAATCAGAGCATGAACTAATTTTTCGGTGGCAGACTTGGACAAATATTTACGAATAAAACCGATATTACGCAAGTGGTACCTTACAGATCTACAAATATTAAGAACTTGGTTAGACATTGTCATATGTGAGTCAAACATAACACCGAGATTGCGACACGTTTGTGACAAGTGAATTATGTGGCCAGAAAATGAAATGCAATTGATATTAACTTTACTAAGCTGTACTTTGGAACCAAATATAAGGAATTCACAATTATGAATTGAAGTCCACATAAACTTTACTTCATAATGTCCTTGAACCATATCTTATAGGTTTTTGGTCTGCTCATTTTGAAAATTATCAATTCCAACAATTTGGACATTGTATCTAAGTCTCCCTGTGTACAAAATAGCTCATTCTAGGTGATTTTCAGGCCTTCTGATCAACTAACTGGCATCCCTGATTATTCAATGTGTTTTCTTATCAAACTGATTTTAGTCACAATTTTATTTTATTACACCATGCAGCTCTTCATCTCGAGCTCTTACGATGCGACCACACACTTTGAGACAGTCCTCGACGATATCCAAGATATATACCTGAGAGCTACCGGAGAAGCGATAGACTTCTCAAAAGTCCAGCACGATCTAGAAGCCAACAAAGATTCCCAATAAGCTCTCTCTGTCTGTCTTTAGTTCCAAGTCACATAAATAGTCCACTATCTCCTGTGTGAGTTCTGTAGTGAGAGAGCTAAGAGGCTGTATGTGCACGAGAAGAAGCCGTATAAAGCAATTTTATCATTTTAAGTCTGTTTTATCGCTGCTCATGATCTATTGAACTCCAGTATAGTTGCATATCACTACTTAAAGTGCAACCATATGATGTGTACTTAAAGTCATCTTGTAAATGTAATTTGAATTGATCAAATGGTATCACATAGATTGTGTTAAAGCATATGAATATATAGGGTGGTTTATTTTTGTTTTTCAATAATTGGATGTACAGGTGGTGTAAGGGGTAGATTCGTAACTCAAAATGATTTTGTTTTTCTTCTCCAAATTACCCGGTAGTGAGGTGGTGATAAATGTTTACATTCCACATATTTTATTTGTAAATTCTGAAGTTAGACTTCAAAGGATTTTTTCTTCTTCTTCTTATTCCAGCTGTAATTGTGAACCAATCATGCTTCCTATTAACAGTGATAACTTGTACAGAGGTAATGGATGATGATGTATACTACTTAATGAGTTATGCCTTTCATGTTCATAATGTGTGTATTGCAACTGAAGTAGAGCTAGGCTAATCAAACTTGAGGTCGAGCATTTTAAATGCACTTTCCATAAATGTACATGTCTGTGAATTAGAGCAAAAGACAAAATTATTTCTTATTGCTATTTTTGTTTTTTGTTGTTGCATAACATACCTAGTATCACTGCTTTTAGAATGAAGAGTATCTATCACATTTAGTAGATTAGATTATCAACTCTGAAATCATCAACTCTCTTGAAAATATGTGCAAACTTCAAAGAGAGCAGATTGAAAGGTTATGGAACAGAACAGAATATTGTAGCACATACATCTCTGAGATGTAATAAATTTGTTGTGTACGAAGGAACATGCGTTACCGACAGGATTTTGAGAATTTTGAGGAAAAGAATCTGTATCCTTCACTCTTTTATGTGAAAAAACAATCTCACTGATAAAGTAGGCAGTCCCATTGTAATACAAGTAGCTGATCTATATCCATTTTAGCGAGAGAAGCTTGGTAAGATGCATACAAAACAAGGCCTCTAATCTTTATCTGAAGGAAAACATTTAGTTCATGAATAATGAAGGCTAAAAACTACATGTCTTGTACATAACAAAGAAGGTTACCATATAGCTCATGCCATTGTTGTTTGAAGAAAAAAACAGGATTTAAATACAACCGCAATGACTACTAGTTTAGAAATTTATGGCATTTAAATCTGAAAACAATATACATACCTGTTGAATTATGTATTGTAATCTGTCCAGTGTGATTGTGCTTTTAGAGTAGAGTATGTGGAATATCTTGTTCTTTACTTGCTAGATAGTTTTCTCAAAATCATGTGCAACTGAAAACCCATACTGTGTCCTTCCTATAAAGCTTGAAATATAAATACTTTAGTGTGTGAATGCATGGAAAGGATAGCTGATGAAGAATGAAAATATGTTTTGTTTCGAATTGAAGTTGAAGAAATTATTTACAAAGTAAGTAGGATTCTGGTTGCTTCAGAATTTATATGACATCGCTTTCAATGTTCCGTACACCACAAGCATGTTCAAATGAAAGTAATTGATTCTTCATGACTGTAGTCACGTCAATGTCCACAAAGCTATGATATTGGGGTTGAGTAAGATTGATATTTACATGAGTTGAAATAATGTCAAGTATGTTTCATTCTCAACTTTAAAGATGATATTGATTTTTGGTCTTCAATTTTCATTGTGAAGGAAACTGACTAAAAGTTATTTTGAATGGCTGATTATCGGAGTAAATAGATTTAGTACAGCAGGTAGGACTTTGTCACAAATTAACCAAATCTTGCTGAAAATCACAAATGATGGAGAAAAAAAAACAGACAGGCATAAGAGTCTAGGAGGACAAATACAAACATGTGGCATTTTGGATTTGGACCAAAGGAGACTATTTCTAATCATATTTAATGTATTTAATATATGAGCACATTTCATTTCTAGAGCAATTCTCTTCATGAGACATTGTTTCTTTGATATTAAATCACATGGGAATTAGAAAAAAAATGGGAAAGCCCCCATGTTTATTTTCTTCTGTATAAGAACTCAAACTTATCTTTGAGCCAAAGGATACGTGGTTGAACTTCTTTTATCCATAAACTTGTAATGTGAGGAATTCTTAGTAGTTGCAATAGAGCTGACAATCTTCTTTTTTTCTTGCCCTTTTTATGAAATATTAACTGATTACAGAAATAAAGTGTACATTTTTCATGAGCAACATTCAAAGAGTTTTGAAAGCTTGGGAATCTGCAGATATCACAATGCACTGGAATAAATAAGGTGTGAATACATTGTATAATGAATTAAGTAGCATGTATGTTTGCAATATAATGGCTGATGTGGCATTCTAGAAAAGAAAAAGTCTTATTTAATAATGTATCACCTGGTGGGGAAAAGTATAGTACTAATGAGTTTCATACCAAATCTGCGCTGGAACACCTAGTGATGCTCATTTGCTCACAAGCCATGTGCTTCTTTAGTTGCAATATTTTTTTGTATACAAGAAAGATTATTGTTTTATTTTCCATGAAATATTTGTGTAGTTGATTATTCTGATCTTTTCAATGTTTACATTTTTTATTTATCATCCATAAAACTTGCCTTTATTTGATATGAGAAGTGTGTTTGAACTGGAACAATCCATACTGAAAAACCTTAGTGCATTCAAGCCTACTTAAGTATGTTTGTTGATATGAATGAAAGCTCATATGCTGTAAAGTCAGCATTTATGTCATGTTTTATCATAAACAGATTTTATCTTGTTACACATTCTTACTTAATATATTCTTATCTCTGATTGCAATACAAGCCATTGTGGTTACAAAGAGGTTTTCTTTATTTTGTAGTAGCTATAGTCAATCATGTATGTAAAATTTATTGTTCCTAATTCAGTGTCATGTTAGTAGGGTGAGGGAAGTGGTGATGGTTGGCAAAGTGCAAAATAGTTTTAAAAATATACACAAATTACATTATTTGTTTGCGTAATGGTCCATACATCTACAAGTAAGGTTGTCTTTGTTGATAAGCGTTGATATGACACAAAGGCACTTCCATGTTCATTCCATGTCGGGTTCAATTCAAAAGACGCAATTTCAAATATTCAAGAATTTGGAGACCACTCAGAGATTCATCATTTCTTTTGATTCCTCTACAATTCTTGAATTTGTCACAGTGTTTCTGTAGGTTAGGAGTAGTGGTATAAATAAATAAATATACAATATCTATGGATCTTACCTGGCCTTCGTTGTGCAGTTAATATAAATGGGGGACAACAAATAGAGATGTGTATGTTAATTAGCAATGAATAGATATATGCCATAGTACTGCCTGATATATGAAACCTTAAACTTGGTAGCCGTATCTACATTTGTAATTCCAAGCAAGTTGTAGAATTTGCATTGCCATGGCTGTCATTTAACATGTTTTGAAGGCCCTAGGTGTATTGCAGTTTATTTGCTTCAGAATGAAATAAATGTATGGTCATCTGCACGCAATAAATGTCTTTTTGTTTTCTGTGTTAGTTTATGTTTCTGGATCCAGAAGGCATAGATGAGGGGGCATATCGTCGGTGGGGTGACAAAACCTTGTATCTCAATTTTTTGAGATTTTAATTTTTTTGCATAATTTTGTACCTAATGGCCTATATGACACCACCTCATAAATCCATGGAACGCCTCCTTCTCGGTTTTTTCACAAATTCCACACAAACGCCCTTAAACTAAACCTTGTAACTTTAACCCCCTTTGAAGCTGCACTGACAAAACCTCGTAATATAAGATACGTAATTCCCTTTCCTCGTAACTCACACATGGCCTAACAGTACCAAAGTTAGTGTATTCAAATCCTCGTAACTCATTCAGAGTTGAAAGTAAGAACCTGTATCTCAATTTGAATAAAAACTAAAAATTTGTATCTCAATGTAGATAAACGCAAAAACCTCGTAACTCACTTTCAAATATAAAAACAATTATTTTACTGTATTTCAACAATGACATTAAAAATTGTATAAATATTCCATTTTAAAAAGAAAGGACGGTGTCACAGCACTAAATTTTTTGAGACAGGAAAGTTTTTTCGCTCTCCTGAAAATTCATGATTTTTGAGATACAAAGTTTTGTCACCCCACCGAACGATATGCCCTTAAAAAAAAAACAATCGAGCATATACCTTGAGAAGACATACTCCATACAGCACAAGAAATTGCATTCTAAAATACCCCAACCATAATTGTTGCCACTAACAGGAACCTAAAATGAGGTGCTAATTTGTTTTTTCCTCTTTTTTTTTTGGGGGGGGGGGGGGGGGGGGGCTAAGGCACCCCTGCCACAGAATCCTGGATATTTCACTAGGTATATGTAAAGAAAAACTTCCGTTACTCAATTGCACCACCTCAACCACTATTATAATATTATGTTAACAGACTATTTGTGGATTCAGTACTAACAATAATTTTGAACAGTCATATAAAACATATAAAAAACATTTGGCATATAATTTCTGACCTCACAGGGAGTCTGGAAAGGATACTGCAAAAGTCATGAATACTTTCCCCATCTGATGCTATACTGTACCTAAGTTATTACAAAAACATATACAAGTATGGGTTTGCTTTATTGTTTCCCTTTTATTTTTGAGATTGCATGGGATGATATCTGACTCTTTAAATCAACAAAATATTAATTATTACCATATATACACTCGGTTTTCTTATTCTTTTTAATCCAAGCCTTTCTTCATACTTTTTTGTTGATATATACCACAATCGAAATTAAGATCTTTTTCGGATTCTGCTACTAAAACAGTATCATCTGCATCTGCATATATCGGAGGTTTATTTTCTGACATTGTGATATCCTTTATAATCAATATGATCATTAATTTCACCGAACTTGCACGTGTGACGATCGACACACATCCTGTAGGTTTTTTTAAATGTTTGTTTTTATTGTTTCAATTATTTGTATTTATTATTTATTTATTATAATTATTGTTATGACTATGCATGATGATAATTTTTTTTTTTTTTTTTTTTTTTTGGGGGGGGGGGGGAGTTGTTTTGTAGACCTATAGCTTATTGTTTGTCTGTTTTCGTAGCTTTATTTTGAACATAACATTGTACTATCATGTTTGCAGCGTATCTTGTCGTCTGTCCATTTGTATCCCTCTTTTATCATAGTCCATTTTATTATTTTACATTCCATCACCATCGCCATCACCGTTTTCTGTGCACTGAAAATATATTACTTGAGCCGAGACTAACAAAACAAAATTCTAGAGCGACAACACGAATATATTTCCTCAAAAGTCCTAAAATCTCTCAAGATGAGTGGTGGCTTAGCTCCTAGTAAAAGCACCGTTTACGTCTCAAATTTACCATTCACTCTTACCAACAATGATCTCCAACAAGTAAGTAAATTAGACCTCTGGATCTATGTCTTTTCTCCATGAATCTGCTAGATCTACTTACTGCAGTCCCATTCATTTCATCCCCTGTCTGTCTGTAGACTCCAGAGATCTAAACAAAATATTACTAAGTAATACTGTAGATAAAGCATTACCATTGATTGATCACTATACTAGTGTTGCTGGTGTGGATCTAGGTTGTGCGTGTGTGTGTATTTGTGTGTTTCTGCGACAAATGTGCAAGAATCGTCACTGAGAAATATGAATTTTTTAAGTTATCTTCGATGAAACACAAATTGGTAACACAGACATATCTGGCGCTTGTTCAGAAACCTATCCAAAATTTGACCCGTAACTCTGGCGTGGAGATACCCTATTAAAACATACCCAAAATAAAGTAAATATTAATTAAATGTCCAAAAAAAGATCATGAGTTAAAATTTGTTATGTTTATTTCCTGTTTTGTGACATTTTTCTTGTTATTTTTGGAGTATTTTTCAGAAAAACAATGATATTAGTATACACTTTTTCTCAGGTTTCACGCCAAACAGCTTGGACATTTACTTCATTTTGGGTATGTTTTTGTAGGGTATCTACACGTCGGAGTTACAGATCAAATTTTGGATAGGTTTCTGAACAAGCGCCACAAATCTTGCAAACTCCTCTCCAATTTGCTCTGTACAGAAAATTTCAAAAACTCATTTTCTTTGTAGACTTATTGATGATGGATTAGATGTGTGTTTCATACATGGCTTTTATAATTAAGCCATTTTAGGGTTAAAAAAATTCAGTGTATGATTGAAAATATTAATTTTTGAAGATTTTTAGTACAGGGCAAAATGTGAAGGGAGCTCGCAGGATACATCACAGAGTACTGAGTTGCAAATTTGAATTTGATTGATTGCTGCTTTAAAAATTCATAACTTTCTTGTTGTTTATTGGGAATATCAACTCTGCATTTGAACAGCTGATAACATTGCCCTCTACAGTTTCAGGTCTAAACTAAAACTTTATATTGTTAATACACTTTGATAAAAAGAAAACCTGTAATTTCATCTGTGTCTTTTCATATTCCAGATCTTTGGGAGATTTGGACAGGTTGCCAGGTAAAGTATGAAATAAAAATGCATTATACAATTATGAAAGAACAGTAAATATTCACACAGAGTAGGAAAGAATAGAAAATTGGATACAAATGGTTCTGATGATTTTGTTTAACCCGGTTCTTAGACAATGCTTTGCTCTTTAATAAATAGGTGCATACATAAATTGTAGAAATATGAAATCTGCTTACTGATGTTATCATATCTATAAGAAAGAAGAAAAAAAATTAGGTTAGAAAGAAGTAGAGTGTACTGTAATTTTTTAAATGCCTCTTTCAACTCATTCGTTTCCTACTTGTGTATAATTTCACTTTTGATTTTACTATTTAATTTCTCTTTCTTGAAACAATGAGTATTTAATGAGCTCTAATTTGAAATTTCTTTCCATGAAATCTAGAAAAAATGAGCTGCTGTGTCTCTCTCTATTCTTCACTTCTCTGTGATTCATGTATAAGGAGAAGTTTACTGTCTACGTCAATTGAATCTCAAATGTTGCATTTGTTTTTACAGAGTTACTATAGTAAAAGATAAAGAGACCAGGAAAAGCAAAGGACTTGCATTCGTTCTCTTTGTAGAGAGAGATTCTGCATACAAGTCCATCAAGTCTCTGAATGGGAGAGAGGTAAGAGGAAATGAAAAAGGAATAATTACTCCCTGTATTTTAGCCATTTGGTGAAGAAAAAAAGAGAGAAAAGTGTGAAAATATGGTTCCAAATAGAAAATAATATACAAATTATTGCAAATGCTGGAAAATTAGATCTCTTCTCTAAAAGAAAATCAGAGATAAGATCATGAAGTTAATCAATGATGAGATGATGAAGAAAATGTTTTTTTAATGATGAAAGGTTAATGATGATTCGTAAGAGTAGCTTAAAGTTTTCAGCTAAAGATGGACAAATTTTGGTATTGTTTGTGTAAACATATGTGAATATATATAATATTAATAATGATAATATAATGGTGGCTTCTTATATAGTGCACATGTCTGTCACGTTGTGATGCTCCTGGCACTGCTCTATTTTTCTTTTCCAGCATTTTGACCATGGAAAATATGAATATCTAAGTCCTAATGCATGATAAAGTTTTTAAATGAAGATTTTCGTAGTGAATGATAACAGATTCTAGAAAATATGAGATATTCCCTTAATAAGAAACCAAATCGAGATCAGGAAATTCATAATTTAGTTGATAGAATGACGAACAATATATATATATGTTTATATATGTCTGAAAGACAATGACCAATCCACAAATTATGTTTTTGAGCAGGAAAATAAAAAGCTATATTCAAGACTTTATTGTTTATGTATGCACTCACATTTGAAAATAATACAGTCAACCATTTTATTTGTTTTCTTTGCAGTTGTTTGGTCGTAAATGGAAGGTGTCTATTGCAGATGATAATGGCAGAGCTGCAGATTTCATTCGCAGAAGAAACTATCCAGATAAATCAAGATGCTACGAGTGTGGGGTAAGACTTCTAGCATTAATTGTGAGACGTTTGTGTGATTGGTGAGATCTGAGAGTGAATTATAAATCATATTTTTCAAACAACAGTTCTTATAAAGACCTAATAGTGACAAATATGCCATGCTGGATGTGACTGCGTAACAGCGCTTTAACTTCCAAATTTTTTACAGTTTTCTTGAACCAAAGGTAATGATAAATTTATCGAAAAATAAGTATTCATTGAATAAAAAAGATTTTCTAGTAAGACATTTGCTTACAATACTTTCAAAGAAGATAACTTGTCTCATTTTATTTTCTTGATAACATTCTGATCATTTTTTTTAAACCAAGTATATTGATGATAAATACAATATTATGGAAATGAAATGTTTCTGAGGAAGACATTTTTAGACACTTGGCTGTAATCTTAATAAAGAATGTAATCATCTAAGTTTTTATTTGCTTGATGTTTTAGGAGTTTGGTCATCTCAGCTATAGTTGCCCAAAGAATACACTAGGAGATAGAGAACCGCCTCCTAAGAAAGAGAAGAAGAAGAAAAAGGATCAAGAGGAATCTTCAAATCTGAAGAGAAAGTACTATGATGATGACGATGAAGGAGATTATGAGGATAGGTAACTTTACACAATGTTTCTTTTCCCCAAAAAATGTCAGTAGTGTTGAATATTTAATGGCTTTGATTTTTAAATAATTGAACGAGAAGTGTTCCAACCTGTTATGTATTTCTTGTGGGAGTGTGACACTATGCATTAGAAATAAATGCATCATATTCTCATATTTTTGCCTTTTTGATATATAAGGGTCTTTTCAGGTCAACTACATGCCTAACTGGAAAGATCGATAGATGGAACTGATTGCCACTTTGTGATAAATGTTATATTTCAAGTTTCAGAATATAGAATTAAGACATTTTATTGTGGCATGAAGTAATATTCTTCATTCAATTCAATTTAATTCCAGTTGGTTTAATATTAACAAATTGAAAGTAGTTGTTCAAGATCTAATTGCATGAAGTTTACAGTGCAGAAATGGTCATATAATAGCGAAATTAATTAAAACAAGAAAATATTTCATAGGTTGTAAAAGTACATAATCATTACAAATAAAAAGTCATACTTTCATAAACGTATAAAGCTTTGAAACAAAACATTGATCATTAAAAAATAGAAGTAAAAAGGTTCCTCATATACTAGGTTGAATATAATCTGGTATGCATTTAGGATTCTGTTCATTTATTTACATTAAACTTGGTAAATAATGCTAAATATTATATACAAGTGAAATGGACTTACTATGTTTTAGCTTGCGATGTTTCACGTCCACTCCGGGACGCTTCAACAGACTGACTGACCTTTAGCGGCAGATGGTCGTTGATCCGTGACAGGGTGCAGGAACTTCAAGAAACATTGCAAGCTAATACATAGTAACTCCAGTTGACCCATCTATAGTATTCAACTTTACTTATCTACTACCTGGAGAGTTGAGAATTTTCACAGACATTAAACAGGGTACTTTCATGTTGTATATATATATAGTGTTGTTTCTATAATTGTTTTTGCATGTTTCCTTCAATTTAGTGACGATGAACAAGAGGGTGAAGATCCCAAATTAGAGAGCTTACATGCTGCAATTAGCAGTCAGGTGAGTTATGGAAGTTGATTAATCATCTTAATCAAGATTCTTGCACGTTCAGTATGCAAAGGGGATGGATCAGAAGATTCTCAAAATCAAAATTATTGATAAACCAGCTACAATACATGTGTGTAGGTCACCATTTTTAAATTGAAATGACTAAATGTTGAATGTATATTAAACAAAGAATGTATTTATGAAAGGAAACTGAAAACTTGAGTACTAGTTACTTTGGATGAGAAGAGAAAAGTAAGAGAGAGTAAGCTTGGAAAAAGAATGACATGAAATGATAAAGTTGTGATTTGTTTAAATTAAAGTTTCATTAATTTTAGAGTCTTAGATTGTTAAATGAGACATGAAATGTGACGTCAAGCTTTAGTCAAGTTCCAACTTATTTTGTACAAATTGCATTTTTAATCCATGATTTTACTGTTTGTGCTTATCTGTCTTTCAGAGGGAAAAGACTGAGGAGGAAGAGTATCGGCACATAGTAGCCTCTGGTAGTTATGACCTTGCTTCGAGCAGCTCGCAGCCAATGGTCAAAAGACCCAAGGTGAAGAAGAATGCATATTTCAGTGATGAGGATGAAATCAGTGACTGAGACAGCGAGTCTGAATGATCAAAGCTCATGCTGCAAGGTTCTCATGGTGTTATGTAACAACGTCCAGAGATGGCCTGCTGTTCCCGCACTGGAAGGCTAATCAGGAACGTCCGGAAATCCTGATGAGGTCTGGAATGGCTTCTGATCGTGCAAGATTAGAGCAGAGATGCTGATTAAAGACATGTCATCGCGGGTTCTTATAGGGACTTTGAGACCATTTTGGTTTTTACCTGTTAATAGGTGTAATCTATCTCCAAGAGTGAACTTCACTTCCACCAACAGGTCTGTGTAAAGCACAGACCCTTCGACATTTAAGGACCCGTAAGGAAATCTCCCTCACACAAATGTTCTCCTAGTCTAGAAGGCAAGACCAGTAAGTTTCTTGTGGGACAGTGGGACAGCTGTGTGCAATACTTATGTACCGGTAATTCGGTAAACATTAATTTGACGTATTGTGGGGGTATAAAGCGAATCTTGATGCAGTACCCATGGAGACTGCTGACTGTATGCCTTTAACACTATAGATTTCTTGCCTGAGCCTGAACTGAAGAGTATGGCATTTGCTCACTCGTCTTAAGTATCGACCTTGGTTCTTAGGTGAGCAAGAGTGAATATTCCAGGTTACAAGATTCCAAGAAAATGATACATGGATTATGGAAAATTACAGTTAAAAACTAAATTATTCATACCCCTTGTAAATTGGATGTTTTTTGTTGTTTTTTGTTACTCAACAATGAAGGTAGATAGGTTTAATGAGGTCCTTTGTTGAATACTGTAAGCTTTAAAATGTCAAAATTTAAAATTTTCAAGAAACAGATTGGGACAAGTCAATTTTCAAATACTTAAAGACCCTATCTTATGAAAATTCAACTTGATATAAATGGAAAAACTCAGTGAATGTAGAATATGAAAATTAAATGAGAACTTACTGTTTGAAGTGTAATTAGTATTTTATTAGTAATAGGAGGATGATATTACGTGCAGGAGAGAGCCCGTTACTGCGCATGCGTCAATCTTAGTAGCATAGAAGGCGACTGTGGATAGAAATTTGGGAGGGTGAGGAGGGACGTAATATCATCCTCCTATTACTAATAAAATACTTATTAAACTTCAAATGAAACTTCAAATGGTAAGTTCTCATTTAATTTTCATATTTTACTACGTTATATCGTATGAGATTTTGAAGCACGACAATCGTCTTCTAGGAATGCAACAGAGCTGCCCGTAACAAATTAGAGACACCCAACTGGGTTAGACATAAACATAGAACTGCTCCACAAATAGAGGAGACAGTTATATCAATAAAGCATGCCATATATCTTAAGAAGCAGCAGAACAATCTTGTCCTGTTACTGGCTTAGGACGGCTTGAGAAAAGGTCCTTCCACCATCCATCGGTTTGTTGTAGAATTTACTGAATGTCTTTTCAGCCCGCCTGATTTAGAATAGCTGCTACTGGTAGGTCACTGTTCTTTGCCGCTGATGTTGATGCAGCTCTAGTAGAGTGGGCTTTGTTCTTGGCTGTGTCTATGCCCGCTGAACCCATAACATTTTTCAACCAACGGGATATTGTCTGAGTTCTTTGGTCTTGGTGTGAGTTGGCAGATTATCCCAGATCGCTGGGTTGACTTTTGGTGCATCAAGAAATCTGCAATTACTTGGCAGAGGGTATCTTGCAGCTGTGTCTACGGTACTTTCTGTTCTAGCTGGTGGCTAATATATAATTGTTTATTTATTCAAAAATCACATTGCAGCCCAAAGGCTGAATTGCACGATTTTTTTAACAAATCTTTGACATAAAAACAAATCATAATGAACATTATAAAAAGCATTACACAAAATAATAACTGCATAAAAAATTAGTAATGCAATATATTCATCATATATTCCTTTACATTTTAAACCGAAATAGCTCGGATTATCAGATGGTATAAAGGCACATAAAAGGTATTTGTCGACTCTGCTATTCCATCGTCGACAAGTTCACCGATATCGGTAGAGAGGGCAAACTTTGCTGCGATAGGCGTGGAAATCACAGTCCGTTAAAACTTCTCTACCATCAATCTGACCCGACTCTAACTCTTGGTCTGAATCACAATAATCTGGGAGGTCTGGTTAACCATAAATCCCGGTGGGATCCACAGGTGTGACATCAACACGTGGTTGAGATGTAGGTGAAGTTCCTCGCCCATGGTGATCACCAGCTCTAACGTCAGTTTCAGTTTGTCGACAATTTTCCAGCCGTGGTGGTAGAGCTTGTAGGACTTGGGACATCATGTCCTCAAATTTATTCATACGATTTCTATTTGACAGATTTGCTAACAGTGTTAGCCTTTGGCTTTGCAGGTTTATCGCTCAACTCCCCCATAGTGGTAGCGGACTGTGTCGCTGGCTTACCCTGGGAAGCGGTTGCCGATGTGGTGGCACCACCTGTAGTGGTTATACCACCGCGCGAATTTGACGTTGATTTTTCCATGAAAAAAGCCTTTCTATCCACAAGTCTGAGAGTGTCTTGGTAGCAAGGCTAGGTCGAAACTCTGTTGAATTCTTCCTCACCAGACTGAAAATACGTTCATCCTCAGCATTGCTGTGAGGAATGGAGAGGATAGCTGGCATGATCTTCGGCAGGTACACATACTTCTGCTCTGAAGTTGATTTGTCCTTCAAATTTGAGATCTCCACCCACATGTCATCAGCTCTTCGCTCAGGGGAAATGCTTACACCAGAGAGATCATCTAGTTGATAGTGAACAAACTCATGTTGGATGGAATCTCTTTTGTCTTCCAGCAAGTGAAACCTGTCCATGAAGAAGGACACTGACTCAAATTTGGACTCAAGCCTCTTCCTTGGGTCTGCAACACTTGCATGTCTGATTACCTCATTGTTGATTGGGAACTTCTTCAAAATATAGTCACAAACAGCTGTGAAAAACTTCCTCACTGATGAAAAGAACTCAGTAGTTTGAGATGAAGAAAACTTGTGTGAAGCAAGTAAGGCAGTGACATTGGGACCAACAATAAGCTCCTCATCTTCCTTCTGGTTACTGTCATCTTTATAGTTGCATGATGCTATAGACATTGAAGACACAAGGGTTGTTGGCTTGACAAAGTGCAGTAACATTTCTTTCAGAAAGTCCTGGAGTTTGTCATGTAGATCAGATGCCATCAGATGGCTGAAAGCAGTTGTCGCACGTCTTTGCCTGCATCATCACCTTCAAACCTTTCATCGCGCGGCTCCGCCTGGAACTCCTTACAGGACCCCAAGAAGTGTGGTCCAGAGCAGCATGGACACTTGCTCTCTGACCTTTGGGTGGAGTGAGTCTTGGATGACTCGCTGTCTTTCGTTGCCATCGTCGTACATTTGGTAATTTACACCTTGCTGGTCTTCACGGTGTAATGTGATGCACACAAACTAACATCCACAGGAATAGTCTTCGTCAGGCTGGATTTATGGAACTCAACAAAGAACAACTTGTTCTACGTTTCTTCCCATGAATATGTTGCTTGGTCATATCCACATTCACTGCTTGGCCATGAAGTAATCTCATATCAGCTTCAGTTGCCTTCAGTTGAGTTCTGGGAATGTCCAACGCTGTGATCAATGTCAGCTTTTTGTCTTTGGCCAATAATGTTTGTTGTACCGGTACTTTCTTGCTGGAGGTGCTAGTAATGATCTGCTCGATGAGGCGACCCTCAAGTTCAACTTCTGCAAACTTGCATTTCCGTGTTTGGATTCTGCACCTGGCCATGAGATCATCTATCGCTTCAGTTGGTTTCTGTGTGAACTTCTTTAGCTGGAATCTTGCACGACAGAAATTTATCTTTGGTTCAAAATGTTTGAAGAAGGCTTCGAAGAGCCCAGCTCGGGTCTTGAATCCTTTTCCCAGGATTTGTGTATCCGGATTCCCTCTTTGCCCAGCCACAACAGGATGTAGGTGCATTTCTCTTGATCAGATTTTCTGCTCAGCGATCCTGAAAATATCATATATAATATAATATTGACAATTCTTGAATTCACTGGGCAAATCTTTTGATGTCCAATCCATGCAGGGTGGGTTGATGCCTGTCATCTCGCCTATGGCGTTTGTTTCTGTATGTGACTTGTTTAAACAACCAATAAGCCTACGTCACATCAATAAAGGAGTTCAACTAGTAATATTAGCCTTATCCTAATATACAAATTGAAGTAGGGTTACATCTAATTTTCACACCCTATCCTGTGTGTAATCAATAATACTGCATTATGACAAATATGGCATTCATAATACAGCATCTCAAGAACATCAATAAGACAATTGTCAAGCAAAATATTCCTTCTATCATAATTGAGTCTCTTTTGCTTGTCCATACAGCATACACACGAACATATAGCCAAATATAGCACAGGGAGTCAAAGTCTCAACCTAGGCCTGGCAGGTAGAAGTTTAAAAAATGTCCATAAAATCCAAATCCGGGCTCCATGGTCTAGCAAAGTCCTTGCACCGTTGCGATCATGTAATGAGATGTACACAAACTAACATCCACAATAATAGTCTTTGTCAGGCTGGATTTATGGAACTCAACAAAGAACAACTTGTTCTATTTAATATATGTATGTGAAGCGGCATTAGAAACTTTAGTAGAAATAATCATGGGCATATGATGTAGGCCATTAATTGAAAGTGAAAGAAAGGTCAACATATTCACACTGAGACGCTTGAGTTGATGGAAAGTTATAGTTTATTTGAAGAAACAAAACAAAGTTTGAGGGCACTAATAACTTAACAAAATCATGCCGTTTGTCATCCTGTAGGCACATTACCTCCTCCCGTGCTGCACCTGCTAAATGATCAAGGACTAATCTGGCCTTCTCTGTACTAGACAGATTGAATTGAGCTGTGAGTTGCTCAAATTCCTCAAACCATTCTGGAAGTGAAAGATCACCCACACTTTCAGGAAGCCCCTTAAACTTGGAGAGGTGGCTCTGCAAAATTCCTTACAGTCCCTTTGATCGCCAGAAGAGCTGTGTTATCATGTTCGCATCAAGGGCTTGTCCTGAAGTGGTATTCATGATGCAAGGAAGGCACTGATACAAAAATATGGGCACAATTCAATATAGCAAACAAGATTAACATGAAGCTTTAAATGAAAATTTAAACAGAAATTGCACATAGGTTATGTCAATTCGTTAATACTGTCCGAAACTGCTGTCTGTTTCCTGCAGGCCAAGGCTGTCTCTTCACTATACAAAGTCTGCAAAACTTCCAACTGAGGATTCCACTTTAACTTCTGATCTGATCCTTGCTCGTAGTGGTGTTTCTCAGTTCGTTCAATAAACTTCTAAAGCGCCTATCCCACTTCTGACACCAGTGAAAGATCTGCAGTTTGAAATACATCAGAATCATGTGGTCCTGCCCTTTTAGCAGTAGGAGGATTAACATTAGCATTTACACTTCCTATCCATGCAGGAACATTTGGATTTAATTCTTTGTTCAACTTTACTCAAGGGGCAATTATGGTATCATTATTTACATCTTTACCTTCTTTTTCATAGGTTTTTATTCTCATCTCTCATAAAGAAAATTGTACATATAATTACAAATTACAAATAATCTACACATAGGCCTATAAGGTTACAAATAAATTTTCATCTAAAATATATTTGCAAATTTATAGTTTCACATTATACAAAAATCACAAAAGTTTTTA